AGAGCATGGCATTGAGTGGGTATATCACATCCCCTACCACGCACCAGCCTCTGGGAAAATCGAACGGTACAATGGGCTGTTAAAAACTACACTGAGAGCAATGGGTGGGGGAACTTTCAAGCATTGGGATACACACTTACCAAAGGCCACCTGGCTGGTCAACACCAGAGGATCTGCCAACAAGGCTGGCCGAACCCAGTCAGAACTTTTACATACTGTAGACAGGGACAAAGTTCCTGTGGTGCATATGAAGAATTTGCTGGGGAAGACAGTCTGGGTTATTCCTGCTTCAGGTAAAGGCAAACCCACTCGTGGGATTGCCTGTGCTCAGGGACCTGGATATACTTGGTGGGTAATGCGGGAAGATGGGGAAGTCCGATGTATATCTCAAGGGGATTTGATTTTAGGGGAAAACAGCCAGTGAACTTAATTGTTTGCTGTTGCCTGCTGTGTAATACTTTTATAGCTCATCAACTAGATGTCTTCAGGTCACCAGCAACTGGCCCTGACTTCCCCACAACCATCATCCCAACAGAGAATGAACTTTGATAGAACCAGATGAGTTCCACAGTAAAGGAATGACCAGCATCAGCAGGCAACAGTCCAACACTGCACACAGCCTTTCCTGCCTTCAAAGACTGTTTCAAGAGATGGAACCTGACATCATGGACCAAATGGACTCAGCATTATAGGGGTTGGTCCATGCACTAAGAAATTATCTCTTTCTCTCTGTCTGTGTGTGCATGTGGATGTATATATGTAAGAGCGATGGTATACTGAAAATGTGGGATCTGAGTATGACGTGAATGGCATGGAATAAAGCGTGGATAATGTCCTGGGTTTAGCAGTTGCAGTGTCCTGGGTTCAGCAGTAGCAGTCATTTTTCCCCTTCTTGGTAGCTGGTGCAGTGCAGTGTTTTGATTTTCGGCCTGGGAATAGAGCTGATAGTAATGATTTGGTTTGGCCAAGGACTTTGTGAGCCTCATGCTCTGCCAGGGAGGAAGGGAAGCCAGGAGGAAGCAGAGACAGGACACCTGACCTAAACTGACCAAAGAGGTATTCCATACCACAGCACGTCATGCCCAGGATGTAACTGAGACTTACCTGGAAGGGCTGGTAGACTGTGGGGCTGGAGGAGGTATCGGTCGGTGCTTGGTCAGGCTGAGGGAGGCAAGTTATCGGTCGGCTGGTGCTGAGGTGTTGTATTCTCTTCCCTTGTTATTTCCTTTATCATTATTATTATTGGTGGTAGCAGTAGTGATCTGTGTTATACCTTAGTTACTAAACTGTTCTTATCTCAACTCGTGGGAGTTGCATTCTTTTTGATTCTCCTCTCCGTCCCTCTGGTAGTAGGGGGAGGGAAAGAAGGGGGGGAGTGAGTGAACGAGTTACCTGACTGGGTTTAAACCACGACATGCAGTCATTTTTTTCTCCTACTTAGTAGGTGGTGCAGCGCTGTGTTTTTGACTTTCAGCCTGGAAACAGAGCTGATAACACCGATGTTTTTAGTTGCTGCTCAAATGTTTAGACTGCCATAGGACTTTGTGAGCCTCATGCTCTGCCAGGGAGGAGGGGAAGCCGTGAGGAAGCAGAGACAGGACACCTGACCCAAACTGACCAAAGAGGTATTCCATACCACAACACGTCATGCCCGGAAGGTAACTGGAGTTACCCGGAAGGGCACTCTCTTGTCGGTCAGGCTCGTTTTGGCAGGCGGTATTGTATTCTCTTCCCTTGTTATTTCCCTTATGATTACTGGCGGTAGCAGCAGTGGTTTGTGTTATACCTTAGTTACTGGACTGTTTTTATCTCAACCCGTGGGAGTTACATTCTTACGATTCTCCTCCCCATCCCTCCGGGAGCAGGGGTGGGGGCAGGGAGAAGGAAAGAAAGAGGTGGGGGAGTAGAAAATGTGTGGCTGACTGGGTTTAAACCACGACACCTTTGTAGATAAGATTCTTGCTTGAGGTTTGTTAGGAATTTCATAAGCAAGGCTACCTCTCTCCCAAATTATGTAAAATATTTGTACACTGAAACGAACATCTCAAAAAACCTTACCCTCTTTTTAAGATTTAAGTAATACTGAAAGACTTCAGCCTTCAAAGAACTAAGTGGCAGTAGAATATCAAAACATTTCCCCAACTACCTCTTTTCCCTAAAGCTGTTTACTCTATGGAAAAAAAGATGCAATTTTCCTTTGAAATATTTTGTAAGTCTACCAAAAATATTTCTTTTTACAGAAACAAATTCAGAATGCTGAAGAAGCTATATAAAACCATTTCTCTTTTAAGACCTAACAGTGTTCTCCTGTCCTTTAAAAAACAGGATGTTATCTTACTCTGAAAAGATATTGTGGCTGCCTGTTTGCATCTCAATCAAATACCTCACAAAGTATCATCACCATCACCCACAACCTGCAATTAATGACTCTACTAAATGCTTTCGGCAAGGCAAGTATTAACAAACATTTAAATATAGCTTTCAAACATAAAACAAAACATTCAAGCAAAGCAGCATATTTACACCTACAGGCTTTGTTTGGATTGGGAGATAAGTGCAAGGATTCCTGCCTCTCATTTACAAGATGAAAAAAGAAAAAACTTTCTAAACTTTTTAATGAACCTAAAAATCTCAATAAGCAAATGAGTAAAACCCCATAGAAACATAAACTACAACTGGTAGTCAAATGTAGAAAGGTAATTTTAAGTGCTTTCTCAAGTTCAGGAAGGCTAACATATATGTAATCACCTTCACCTCAATATCGTGGTTACTCCCCCATGGTCCATCTACGCAATGCAGTAACTTTGCCTGTAACAGAGTGCTGATTGTGAATCACAGTGTTCAGACACAGCGAAAGAGAAGCACCATTTAAACTTTTAGCTCAGGAAGGAAAAAATTATAAGTAATTTAACTTATGTCCTGTCTGAAAGGCCAAAGAGTAGAACAAAGTGGTATTACATTTATATAGACACATTAAGCTCCCAACCCTGCCGCAACGCATGCAGCAAAGGAGCTCCGTGGGGTGAAGCCACACTGTCTCACAGGAGGGAAATAGCACGCTTAAATACTGTTGCTCACATACCTGCTTATTATCTTATCAACCTGGTACCAGGACACCTGAAACTGCTGTTTTGTGAGGAAATTCGTGCTGCCAATGTGGCATGTTTGAATTCAAAAGACATCACAGTAAGAAGAGATTTCAGATCAAAATATTCAAACAAGGACCAGAAAAGATAATAGGAGATTTTCTAACAGTTTTTCAATACCTAAAGGGGGCCTACAAGAACTCTGGAGAGGGACTTTTAACAAGGGCATGTAGTGGTAGGACAAGGAGAAATAGCTTTAAGCTGAAAGAGGGTAGTGTTAGGTTACATATTAGGAAAAAATTCTTCCCTGTGATGATGGTGAGGCACTGGATCAGGCTGCCCAGAAAACCTGTGGATGCTTCATCCCTGGAAGTGTTCAAGGCCAGGTTGAATGAGGCTTTGAGCAACCTGTACAAGGTGTCCCTGCCCATGGCAGGGAAGTTGGAACTAGGTGATGTTTAAGGTGCCTTCCAACCCAAACCATTTTACGATTTGTGGTAAATAGAGAGCTAGTACTTTTCAAAGGGTTATATGAAAACAAAGGAACCAAGAAAGTCCATGATTTAAAAAAAAATTTTAAAAAATAAAGGTAAGCTCTCCATCACCCTCCTAAAACCAATGAAAAAAATAACAATCTGATTATTCTTTGAATTTTATTAATATATAACCACATCCAAGTGGAGTAGAAAATGCTGCCATTGTGGTTATGTCCTAAAAACTTAACAAGTGATGACACAACTGAGTATCTCCAGATGTAATTTAGAGTTCTAGACAGCCTACCATACTTCAGATGTTTAGAGGATGCTATTGCTTGTCAGAGTCTTACATAAATATGGAAAAATGTCTGAGGCTGTCTCATTAATAAATAAAACAAAAATCCATTTGAACCAGCAGAACACAGAGATACATTAAAATGTTAATTCTTCCTTTTGAGTTTTCTCTCCATTCTCTACAGGACTACCTGAATGATAAACACTGAAATAAAACAAAAATGTCCAGGCTTTTTCTGACTGATAATAATTACTAATATATATATAAAATCCAACAGAACATACGAGCTGACCCGAATAGAATATTGTGTATTTGGAAATTACCAGCCTGCAGCAAAGAAATAATGGTACATACTACAGCTTCTTTTTGATGCAGTCTGCCATCACAGCAGCATTCAGATGGCAAAATATCAGCACAAACATCAAATACACAGCTTTCGTTGAGAAACTTCATTTTACTGTAGCAATGCCATTGTGCTCAAGCACAGGGAAAACAGGTCAGCACTGCAACTGGCCTTAACATGGGGTAGGTTAGGACCCTTGAGAACAAGCTGCGAAAGACAGTATTTTAACAACAAAGAAAGTACATCGCTCAGGAGAAAAAAACAACACAAACAAGCAAACAAAAAACAAAACCCTAATAAAAAATTAACCCAATCCGAAAAATAACTTCTGGGTTCCTTAGGAAAGTACTCCAACAACAAAGGAAGAGACTACCCGAGATGCTGGGTTAAGGGTTAAGTTTATAGAGACAGGCCACGTTAGACGGGGCAACCTGGTCCAGTGGAAGGTGTCCCTGCCCGTGGCAGGCAGCGGGGGTGTAACTAGATGATCTTAAGGTCCCTTGCAACTCTATGACCTGCGCCGCGTCAGGACAGCGGTTGCTGATGAAGACAGGTGAGGCTGCCGACACGCCACAGCCTGGTCACGGCCATTTGTAAGGTTTTGCTCAGCGCGGCAGCGGACACAGAAGCCAAGGAGTGCCGATTCCTGCCGTGGGGCTCAGCAACTCAGCGCTGCCCGCCGTGCCCTCCAGTCAAGTACCGATCTCCATGCGCCCACATCCCCGCCCACGGAGCCGCCATGCCCGGCCACAGTGGCCGAGCACCGATGCAGCGGATGGGGGGCGGGACTCGGCGGGAGGCTGGCTCCCCGCTTCCGGCCCAGCGGCGGATGTTGGAGTTTGAATTGTCTGTCAGTTAGCTAGGCTGCCGCTGGTGAGTAACGCTTTGAGAGGCTGCGGCTTTGCCTCGCGGCCTTGGGGCGGGCTGAGCCTGAGGTGGGGAGGGCTACCCTGCAGGGGGCGAAGGGAGGTAGACTGGGGCTATGAGCCGCCGAAGGGGCAGTGTGAGCAGTCATGGTTTCCTGAGAGCGAAACCCGCGGGGGCGAGTCACCCAGTGCGGCCGTGGGACAGAGGGACGAAGGAGGGAGATGGGACGGGGCCTCGCTGGCGGCTCTTCCCACAGATAGTGCCACGGCCGTTCTGCCTGTTGAAAAAGGCGTCGGCCAGGTTTAGTGATGAGACCTGTGCGAGATTCGGACAGTAAGTGGTCGCCCGCCCTTCAGTGAGTTGGGCTTCCTGGAAGCGTAGTATGTGCCGGGGGATGGGCTCCTTGCAGGACACGGCGTCGTGTTATGCACCGCGAAGGGAGCGTGTGTATCTAGGACATACTGCACGGACGGGCGGAATCCGGGAGGGTTCTTTGTCCGTATGCCAGAGAAAGCGTGCACTGGAATGTGGCCTGGGGGGTTGCGTTTGTTTCTTTTCCCATTCTCTAGTTAAGAAACTCCATAAAGCACTTTCTGTTCTGGAGCAGTAAAGAGAGAACTCGGCAAAACCTAAATATCCGCTTTGAGGATATTTTTTTTAGCCTGTTTAGGCAAAGTAAACGCATTCTATTTACACCTGGGTTTTCATAAACGCTGCGTGGTAACCTGTTCCTGTCTTGCAAGTAGACTCATGCTGCACTGCTTTATTCCTGTGGAAAACCCCATAGGACTTGTGCCCGGAGCCTCAATGGTTGCTCTCTCATATCCTTTTAACTTACAAATTTGAGCTCCGGGTTCATTTCCCTGAAAGATTCTGATACAAATAGAAGGAATCTGGGAGGGGGGAAATGTAGTAGCGATTTTTTTTCCCCTGTTCTGCTGGAGCCAAGGAAAGGTGTAGGGGAAGGTGCATTTCTTGTTTCCAGGCACGTACGTGCGTTCTCCACCGGCAGGGCTTTTTACAACCCACAGAGGTGAAAAATCTGACCTTGTGTCGTATATAGAGGCTGTTTGTTGTGGCTCTGGTAGGTTCAGGTCGGCGAAACTGGTGGTGACCATTGGGAAATGCCGAAGAAAAGGGAACGTGTGAGCTGCGTGCTGCTCTTTCGCTGCCCCTGTACCTGATCGAGTTTGGCTTTTGTAACTTAGAAAAAGGGAAGTGTGTTTCTGCGAAAACTGTAGTCAGTTATTTCACTGGGCTGTCGGTGCAGTGTGTTCTTAGGAGCCTCTTGACCTAATTCCGTTGCGGCACTGTTTATTTTTTAGATTCTTTTCCTTTTAGACGAAGGTCTTTTGTGTAGAGCTACTCCGGTTCTCTAACAAAGTGCAGCGGCGCAGTTGCCTTATGTCTGAGACTTCTGCCTCCCTTTTTCGTTTTTGTTTTTTCTTTCTCAATAGAACTCGTCCAAAAACTCCAGTGAAGGAGCTGCAGTACTTTGCAGTGGTTTGGATTAGCCTGAGGTTTGTTCCCGAAGCCTGTACCTGGGGGTCATGAAAACTATAAATACCAAAACTGCGATAGCTCAGAGTCTGTCAGGCTTTTGTTTTGGACGCTGGGTTTGTTACCGGCTGCCTCCCTGCTCACTTTGGCGTGTGTGAAGAAAGTTGTCTGGCTGCCTGGGAGGTCAAGCGTGGAGCTGGAGGCAGTCACGCGTGATTCTTTGTCTTGCAAAGCTTATGTAATCCTTTCTTCAGTTTCCCAAGAGAAAGGCAATTCAAAGATCTACATATATGCTCTGAAAAGGGTTCTACTTTACACTAGAGAAAGAGTAATCATGCTATGGTGAAGAAACAAGTATTTTTATTTTTTTCTCCCAAGGTGGGCTAGGTTGTGTGGTGTGGCATGCAGTAAAGGCCAGCTCCCCCTATATCCACATTAATATATCTTGGGGATCTCATTTTTAGGTGCATGTGATGTTTGAAAGAAATGTGGGCTAGGTCGGTGTTTCCAAATAAATTATTTCCTAGTCTAGAATGTAAAGTACGTAGTTCTAAATAGTGTAAATTCATCTTTATCCATGTCCCTGTCCCCTCACTGTTTTGGGGCTTTTTTTTGTTTTTCATCTTGGATCAGGATTTCTTCAACTATGCCAGGATCCCTCATTTCCTCCAAACAGTGGAGACTATCTGCATAGTTGCATCACTGTTCTATCCAGTTAATTTTTAATTCCAGGTTCCTCAATCTTCATTTGAGCTGGACTCACTGCCACCTCCTTGGTTGTCCATGGCTCATTATGTTTAAGATAACTACAAACTCTACAAATAGGTCTGTACGTAATTAGCTGATGCACTGGACTTTACTTTCAAAGAGAAAATAGAGTACCTTATTTGGTAGTTCAGGGAAATAGTTAAAAGTTGCTACATGTTTCACTGGTCTGAGAACATGTTTTACGAACATCTGCATCCTGCTTTCTGAACCCCTATCTCTCACCATAACAGCTGAATTTTGTTCTTGATCCCATTTTTAGTTTACTGAGTTTGGGTGGGGTTTTGTTTGTTTTTCTTCAATTTAAAGTAAATGTAAAAGTGGTATATATTGGTCATTGTTAATGCATGAGATGTATTTAACACCTCACCACTTTTTCATGACAGCCAGAAAAACTCAGGATGAGTGAAAACAATGATTTACACATTCAAAGTTCATGTAAGTAAGGTTTTTATTTAACAGCTATAGAAAACTTTAATCTGCATATATAATAACAGTAATAACTTGCTTTATTTGGGCTCAGAGAACAGGTGGATTATCAGTACTCAAATTATGTTTGAACCACTTGTGTCAGAGAATGAAAAAGAAGTAACTGGTAAACGTCCTTGGATTTGCTTGCTTGAAATTTTGAATTTGCTTGAAAAATTTAAAATAGTCTTTTCTGTAGATATTCTAAGAAAGTAACCTTGGGAATTAGCCTCCTAATCACACAGAGCTGTGTTTGAGCTGCATCATTCAAGGCTTTTAGGCTGAAGCAGTACCTCTAGTCTCATCATGACTATGTCCTTGATAGAATATTGAAAATGTATCTTGCATCTATTGAGAATTGAAAGGAAGATATTAAATCTCAGTGGAAGTGTTCTAGTGGACTAGGAACTGCAGAAATGGGGAAAATCTAAAAGTTTTAGTTGACTTCAGTGTTGTCTCAAATCCTTGAATGTCTTGAAACTAGCACGTTTTAAAAGCACTGGTAGCATCTGACTTGACGCATGCAGTCAGGATACCATTCATATGCTTTGCACAAAGGTTATCACAAAGGTATACAAAGAGACAGTTAAGTTTCTTCATGGGTTCTAATATGGTGATGTCTTTATGTACAATACTAAAACCAGTTATATTTTGCACACATTTGGACATTATTAGCCATTTGATAATTATCTTTAGGTGTTTTGGAAAGAACTTTTCAGTTGGGAATGCAGTCGAGTTATGAATTTAGCTCAGGTAATAGTCCTTTCCTGAGTCAGAAGGCAGGTGTAACTGGTGAGGTATTTTCTTTTTAGTAACTACAAAAGGAGCAAGTAGTACCCTCTTCTGTATTTACTGTAGAATTCAACATTAAGCAGAGAGGGGTGCCTACTGTCCTTTATCCAGTAATCTACTTCAAGATGCGTGTGATTAAGAGACATAAAGATTACTTCTCTACAAGTGATTCATAGTAATTCATACATTCATTATGTGATTATAGACATGATTCTCTATTTTAGCTTGTGTTCTCTGTGGACGTACAGATGACTGCCCTGAAAAGTATGGAGAAAAAAAGACCTATGTGGAATACAATCTCACTGTTCATTATTACTGTTTGGTAAGTATGTGGAATTGATCTTGGAGCTTGTCTGTTTTAACAGAAAAATAAATAAATAAAACATACTAAATAGTAATAACGTGTCCAAACAGCTGTTATAACAGTTTTGTTGTTGTAAAGCCTGAACACTTAAGTTGAAATTGTAGCCTTGAAACCTGTCATGCAGCAGATAAAATAGATCCCCAAAAGACTTATCCAAAACTAAATTCTGTTCATGATCCATTTAAATTAATTTACTTAGTTCTTTCAACCTGTTATAGCAATGAAGGTTCATATTAAGAGAAAGGGAAAAGATGCACGTGCATATTCGCTTATGTAGGAGAATTAGAGTTTTGAAATTTGGAATGTGAAAATTTTACCCCTTGTCAAAAAAAGTAGAGAAAAGTTGTCCTTGTTTTTTCTCGTTTCTCATTAGTTCTTGCTTGGCTGTGAGTTATTCTACAACATTACTTAGGCATTGTAAGACTGAAGAAATAGTCCTACTATTCAGTTTAGTAATATGCACCCTACTGATCATGTAGAGCTACAGTATCACTATTTAGAAAAAGCTTGTAATTTGAACAGAGCTATGAATATAAACTACAACTGAGTGTCTTTTGTTACCACTTGACAGTTTACAAGATTCGTATTCTTAAAGGTATACTTATGCTACCTTCTAAACTCTAAATTTTTGCAGACCTTTAAAATAATACGACTACTTTTTTAAAAAAAAAGTGATTTTTGTTAATAAACACAGTTTGAATTTTTTTCCCCCCAAGTTTAAAAAAAAAGTCTCAAGAATATCAGGAGCAATTTGAGTGTTTTGGTTTTTGGTTGTTTTTTTTTTTTTTTAACTCAACCAGTCTAAAAATTGTGTTGACTGCAGATGGTTTATTCAAATCCTTCAAAGCCTAGGCAGAGTGGAGGTTTTCTGAATTTACGTAAAGATTATTTTTTATATTACTTTTTTCTTAAATAAATTTTAAGCAGCTGGAAGGAAATTTAGGTGTGTTCATGATGATTTTGCCTTGTGTATAGGCCATATGAAATGATAGGAAGAAGGCCTTTCCTGGTGGAGCAAAACGGCTAGAAAAGGGCATGCTTCCAACACTGAGCCTTATGACTTATACTTTACTGTGATGAGCTTCCTGCAGTCATCTTTTAGTTTTGATCCCTGATGTTTCTTAAAAACAAACAAAAACCTATGATTTTACTTAACTACAATGAATATTATATAACAAAAGAGTTCTTCTGGGAAGAGGCCAGTTAGTGGTGCAGTTTGATTTTTCTTTGCTAAATGTCTTGCATTTGGGAAAAAAATACATTCTTAATTTGGTCTGGTCTAAAATTTTATATTTATTTGACTAAAATATTGATAAAAGTCTTTAGTTAGAAAATGATGCTGTGTTAAAATTATAAAATAAATATAAAATGAGATTCTAAAGAATATAGGAGGCATAAAGTTGTGAAACTAGTTACTTGAATTTTGTGATGTAAATGCCTTGCTTAGTAAGTTTAAATTATCATTAGGCTGTTCTGACTTGCCTAGTTACTGGATTCTGTTTTATTTAATTTTCTAAAGTGAATTACTCTTCCTCTTAGGTTGCACTTCAGTAGAGATACTTCCTACTGTGCTTCATTATCTCCACAGCGCAATTGTCATTCACATTAACTAACCTAATTTAATTTTGCTTCCTCTGAAAGTAATTGTTTGACAATTACCTGAATAGTGTATGCTTTCAAAGGAAGGTAGAACACACCATCTTGGGTTCTACTGTATTACCTAAGACTTTGATGTTATGAAATATTTATTTTCATGTTACTATTCCCTACTGTGTCATACCAGATAAAATGTATAGATGTTTTGGATGAGTTTAAAAATTTTTCATCATTAAAATGTTTGCACACAAGCTTTGTTAGACTAAACTTCTCTTACTTGACAAATACAATGTAAGTAATTGTAAATCTTTAGGTAGGTAAATGTTTTAAAATACTTAATTTGTTTTCATAGTTGATGTCAAGTGGCATTTGGCAGAGAGGGGAAGAAGATGAAGGTGTAGATGGATTCTTAATCACGGATATTAGAAAAGAAGTGAATAGAGCTTCAAAACTGGTAATAATGAAGTCTTTGGCCTTTACAGGGGGGAGAAAGTAACTTTTAAGTTCACTTAAAACCTGTGGGGTTTGGTTTGCTTTCTTGACAATGGGCAGTGTGCTGAGCCTATTCAAGCATCTGAGTTTTACATTTAAGTAACAAGTATATTGTGTTCTTGGAAGCCACAAAGGCTAATAAACCCTGCGGAAGTTTATTAAGATTTTTATTTTCTGGGTATGTTGCAGATAAATAAGGCTAAATTACACACACATAATACCTCATGACATTAAGCTGAGCCTCAAGCTGACATTATCTAATTTTATACATGCATTTAAGCTATAGGTACTGGTAAAATAACATGTATTTTGGCTTACATATCACAAGTAAATATGCATATGAAACAACTATATATCTTTATATATCTTGTGAAATAACTATATATCTTTACTCCTTGAAATAGAGCTAAAACACAATAGTCTTGTTGCAGAATCTATTGGCTGATATTCTTTCTTACACACTTTGTAATATTTCTGTTGGTTTAATTCCTGTAATTTGACTTTAGAAATAACAGAATATTAACATGTAAACAAAATTATTCCTAGACATGTAACATCTGTAGAAAAAAGGGTGCTTCAATTGGATGTGTAGCCCCCAAATGCAAACGAAGTTACCATTTTCCTTGTGGGACACAAAAGGAATGTATTTTCCAGTTCATGGAAGACTTCAGGTAAGTTCTGGGATTTTGTTGCTTTTTCGTTTTCAATTCATTGTGTTTATACAGGGTGTGATCTGTTTCTTAATGGGTTCTCATTGGATTAGCTATTAATTATAAATGACACCCAGTTTATCTAAGGAAAAAATACCTGATTAGTGGAAAAACATGAAGGCCAAGCAGTTATATTACATATCTAGTATCTATAAACTAAATTCTCAACACTTTTAAGGGTATAATTTAGTCCTTCTACAAATTGTTGTATTGTTTATGAAATTGAGCATTAAGTCCTGAACTCTTGAAATAAACTGCACAATGGTTGGGTTTGGGTTTTTTGTTTGCCTACCTCCTTTGCTGTGCCTTTGTTGAAATGGCAGCGCTGTGGCTGCCTATCTCTCAACCGTCAAAACACACTGTATGCTATTCCATCATGTTTCAAAGCACAGGACTTCTAGATCTGGTTGTTAGAGATGGACTGCAGGAGAAATCTGTTTAATATCAGATGTCTAAAAAAAATTTTATTTTCTTTTGCTATTATCTGTCTAGAATCGTGCTGTAATCAAAATACTCTTGAGGGCATCTGATAATGGCTTTATTCTACTGTAAGCATAGTTTGTAGGGTGGGTGGTTTGAAGTCTGGCAGGCACTTTAACTTGTTAAATAAACAACTTGTAGTTTATTTAGTGTAGTAAGTTGAGCACATGTAAAATGATACATTTCCAGAAAGCTTTCATCTAGAGCTGCATTTCTTGGCTGTCTTAGATCTTCAGAAATAAGCTAAATTACAAAATTTGTCATGCTACTTAGACTTTGCAGAATCAATATGCAAACTCAAAATTGCTCCTTTAAAGTCTTAGTAACATTGAAGTTAGGAAGAACTTGAGGTTCTGAGGATAGGAAATGCATTATGTGGACCAAAAGGTATATGATCTCTGTATGTTAAAGAGTGTCAGTTGCCAGCATGCTTCTTCCTTATATTGACTTCCTCCATTAGATAAGTGAGTTGTTTAAATGTGTTGTGGTTTAATCCTGATAGGCAGCAGAGCATCCCACAGCCACTCACTTACTATCCTCAGCAGGATGGGGGAAGAATTGGAAGGGCAAAAGTGGGAAAACTTGTGGGTTGAGATAAAGACAGTTTGATAGGGGAAGCAAAGCTGCATGTGCAAGCAAAGCAAAATAAGGAATTAACCTACTGCTTCCCATCAGCAAGCAGATGTTCAGCTCTTTCCAGGAAAGCAGGGCTTCACCATGTGTACAGTTACTTGGGAAGACAAATTTTATAACCCCAAATGTCTCTCCTCATTTCCCCCAGTTTTATTGCTGAGTTTGACACTATACAGTATGGAGTACCCCTTTGGTCAGTTGCAGTCAGCTGTCCTTGCTGTGTCCCCTCCCAACTTGTGCATCCTCAGTCTACTGCTGGCAGGGCAGCGTGATGAGCAGAAAAGGCCTTGTGTCTGTGTAAGCACTGCTCAGCAATAACTGAAGCATCCCTGAATCAAAACACAGCCCCATACAAGCTACTGTGAAGGAAAATAACTCTATCTCAGCCAAAACTAGTACGTGTCTGCCTTTTTCTGCCTTTTTAGCTTGTCACACAGCATTTATTCATGAAAAACATACAACAGGGAATTAATTTTGCTATCCTCAAATTTTATGAGGATGGTTCCTCAAATGCTGTTTTGATTGGTAACCTTATGTTGTTATTTTTAGATCTTACTGTTGGGAACATAAACCAGTCCAAAAGTTTCCAGTTAAAGAATCTGGAGGAACTTCACAGTGTACAATATGCCTGGATTTGGTTGAACAACTTCCAATATACGCTGTATTGAAAAGTCCTTGCTGTAAAAATGCTTGGTTTCATCGAGAATGCTTGCAGGTAACACAGGTTCTCCATTTCTTTTTCTCTTCTCCCAGAGATTACGTTTCTATAGTGTTTAAAAATAAGAAGCATTAGCTTAAAATTGTGCAAAATTCCTTAGGTTTAAGGGAGGCAGTAGGTATGGAAATGTACTGTGTTTGAAGGAGAATTGTGTTTTGGAGACAAGAGTCTTATAAGAATTCCCCCCCTCCGTATTTCTGTATGTGTGATGCATTTCATGCCTTTTGTTATTTTGAGGAATTAAAATCCAACCTAAGTAGTTGCCTTCTTGCAAATCATTACATGCAGAATCTTAATGCTAAATATGTTGTTTATCCCTTATCAGTTCTCTTTGCCTAAGTCCAGAGTTGGAAAAACTTACGAGGTTCTTTTCATAAACTCATTCTAGGTCTGAAGAGGTTGACTACAAAGGATTGTGGTTTTGTTTATGAATCCGATTCTAGCATGTGAGCTTTTGTCCTTTAAAAGAAGAGAAAAGGCTCACCATTTGCTTCAGTGTGAAATGACATCATGATTGATGTCATCTTTAACATCCATGTCAGGACAATATCTATGAATGTAATGGTTATAGATATTAAGGCATTATTTATTAGCGTCCTGAGGACAACAGTAATTCAATAATTGGTTTGTTTTTTTTGTTGTGTTTTTTTTCTTGACCCAGTATCAAGCTTTGAGTGCTGGGATATTTTTCTTTAGGTGCACAGTATGCAATAACAAGGACAAATTTCAGAAAGAAATGTTGAGAATGGGCATATACATTCCAGAAAGGTAAGTAATTTTACCAATAATCGCCCTTCTATACCAACTTTGATACAGTGTTAAGCCCATTCTTAATGTATTCAATGGAACTGCATCTGTTAATATGTGAAACTTCAGTTCTGCTTTCAGTGATAGAATGGTTTGGTTTGGTAAGGATTAGCCTGTTTCCTTTTAGCTATGCATAAAATTGTCAAAATCCAAATTAGTCATCTCGAACATAAAGCACAAAGCTCTGAAAATTCACTTATGCCATGATTCAACCAGGGACCTGTTTAAAAGATCAAAACACTTCTTAAAACAAAAATTTCACATGAACATGGCATTGTATTTTCTGTGCCCAAATTTTTAAATTACCTGAATTTTTGTCCAGACAGATTGATCACTCAGCCATCCAGGTTCCATCTTCTCCCAATCCCATTTTAGGGATTGCTAATTATATGCTTAGTATAACAACTGCTTCTAAAATTCTGAGTTGTTTTTCATTAGTTTCCACCATTAGATGGGGCTCAAAATAAGATGCAAAGACAGAATCTCAAGGTTCTGGGGAGGAAGAAGAGTTAAAATACTTGTTGAACTTCGCCATACTGGCCTGGAAAATTCTGCATTACTTTTCATGAGCCCATTTTCAGTGGTAACTTAAGTAGACTGCCAAAACAAATCCTCATGTTCCTTTGAGAGACAAAGTGGAAGGATATGAAAGACACAAACATGGACTGAGGTCATGTGAAAAATAATAAATATTTCAATCACAGTAACTTGACACAAGAAAAAGGCTGTCTGTGTATTTTATAGTAGTATTTTTGTTCCTAGATATTTTTCTTTCCCCTCTGAGTTCTGCCTAGAATGTGATTGAGATATCTTCCTGTGGTTATCATATGCATCTTTTATAAAGATAGAGCAACACGTTTAAACAGTCAGAAATACAGATGTAATAACAAATCTTCTGCCTTGTTTATAGGGATGCATCTTGGGAACTTGAAGAGAATGCATATGAAGATCTACTGCACTGTTATCAACATTGTGATATTAGAAGATGCCTGTGCAGGAAAGGAAGAGACTACAGTAAACCTGATAGGTATGACTCTTGCAGGAAGGTGTAACCTAGGATGGAATAGTTCTTTGGTGGTGTGGTGGTGTTTGGGTTTTAGTTTGGGTTTTTTTTTTGTTTTGGTGGTTTGTTTTTTAATTTAACTGCTTTAATACTTTTCAGCATCAGGTTTTAATGTCAAGCCAAGATACCATGTCCAAATAAAATGTTTGGTTTACTGTCTATAATCATATTTCAATTCTATTATAAAAGCCAAGAAAATCAAACCAGTTACCTTGTCCTGGTTCTCATTTGATACAGAGCTGAAGTAGAATATGTATATCCATATAACATAACATGTAGACTAGCATGTGCCTATTCTGTGTATTTTTCATTCAAAGATTAATTCAGCAATTTAACTGTTAAAATACATTAATGAATTTCTTTCATTAAAGAATTCTAACAGTATTCTAAAGTTCTAGACTTGGCTGAAAATCAACTAGCTGTGTAAAATAAATCTAAAATCGCTGTAGCTGCAAGCTATACCTCTGCATGCAAATGGCAGCTAGAATGTTGCTGATAGCTTAATGAGAGGCTTCAGTGATCATGCAAAAAGGCTATCCTTCTCTACCACTTGCTTAATTTTTTATTAATAAGTTCATTTTCTGCATTATTTCATGTTTTATTTGTGTGTTTCTGAAATGTGTGTCTTCCGCTGGCATGAGTATACTCAAAGCTGTCAGATCCTCTACTTTTAAGTTATTTCTATAGTACTGTGGTAGATTACTCCCTGTAGACACTAACTTGGTGTTGTACAGATTTGACCAAATGTTTTTTTGGTTCTTTCATGGCATGTGTGCACCTCAGGATTTACTTTGCCTTTTAAGAGTCATATGTTAGGCTTCCAGCATTTGAACTAATATCAGTCACACTTTTCATTGTCTTTTTAAGTAAAATTGAAGAAATCTAAACAAAAATCTTAACAGATACATAAACACTGTTATTAATGAAGAATCTTATTCAGAACATGTAAGACTAATAAGGTACGCTACTTGAAAAAAAATTACTATTTGGAACTATGGAACTACCCATAAAATAAAGGATGTTGCTGGCTAACAACGTGAGGAGAAAATACTGGTTGCAAGTATTGTCTTCAAGGCAGGGGAGCACACTAACTCACAGCCTCTTTCAATACATGGTGCTGGAACATGGGTAGCTTATTTTTTTTGTTGGGTTGGCTTTGTTTGGGGTTTTTTACGTGTAATAATACTCACAGGAATTGTGAGTATACCTTGTCTGAAGAAATTTCCCTTTCATTATATACAGTGCTACCACATTGATAAAACCATGCTTTGTTAGTTTGGTGTCTGGATTACACTTACAGTTGAGTGTTCTTTGTTTTAACTAGCGCCATTGTTCTGTCTAATTCTAAATACATAAGTTTGTAATTCTAGTAAATGGGAAATAAAGCGTTGCCAGTGTTGTGGTTCCCGTGGAACTCATTTGGCCTGTTCATCTATGAAGTCATGGGAGCAAAACTGGGAGTGCATGGAATGTAGAAATATCTTGGTAAAATCAGGTAAAATTATGGACTTCTTACAATGATGAATTTTAGTACTGTGTGTTTTACAGCTAGCAAAATTACTAACGTAATATAATGTAATCAACAGGGAACTATAGGAGACAGACAAAGCGTTCTTTGGCTACCTCTGAAAAGACAGATGGGACAACTTGTTTGCTGGAAGAACCATCTCCAAAGTGCCCTCGGCAGTCACCTGGATCTCAACGCAATATTCTTCAGTGTGTAATTTTCTGTTTTCAAGCAGAAACTGATTATAACATTAAATAGTATTTAAACATGAGGAGAGGTGATGGCTTATTCCATAAGAGAAACTTCTTGCAATAAATTGCAAACTGAATAAAATTGAAAGTTTAGTGACTGAAGTTTACTAAGCCCTGAGTCTGTAATTTGCTATTGTTATTTGCCTTCAGTGGCACATAAACCTGCTTTTAGGTTGATAAAATTGAATCCTTGTAAAAGCAGTCTTAACAATTTAGAGGTAACATTGAATGTGCAAATGGCAAAACTTAAAGCTAAGATTGTTCATCAGTATTTTTTCCACATGAATAGCATGCTAGAAATCTAGCTTACAGAGGTGTTTATTTGAATAATGTTTTCCTCTGCTGTAATGAAAACTTTTCAAGTCTGTAGAAACTACTATTTTTAGGTTTTACTCGATGTATCAGTCAGGATTTCCATCTCATGTATGGGATCAACTAAAAACTGATCTTAAAACCACCACATAATTAAATACTGAATTAGTAGTTCAGTAGTTCAGGTACAGGTAGACTTCATGTAAATGAACATACAAATGAGATTTGGTTCTCAAACAGTGGAAAACTATGTTGCTGCCTTCAAATAAGAAGTGTTTATGCATTCTTCAGTTGTGTCTCTTTTCAAAATACTGTTTTGGATTGTAGCTCACCAAAGATTATGTGCCAGAACAACTTGTCAACCTGCTCACACTTAGAACTTCCAGCATCCAACAGAGTGAGGATGTCCTTATCTCCACTGATGTCAAACAGGAACTGGTCCCCGAGGAAAAAGTATTATTTTTTTTTTTTCTGTTTTTCCTATGTTGAAGAGTAATCTAGCACATCACTATACCGAATTTCCTACAGAACATGGTGTGTGTGTGTATATAGTAGCTATATATATTTGTATGTGTGTGTATGGAGTCACTGAAAAAATGGAATGAGTACACTGAAGAGTTGAAATTGTAATTTAATGAAAGCTTCTGCTGTTTCTAAATGCAGGGGGTGAGGAGAAAGGAGTAGTATCTATTGAGAATTTTTAGGTTTGGTAGTGAGGGAATCAAAACCCATAAATGCATATTTGTCCTTGTGAACAATAGCTGTTCTTTGGAAAAGGGTGAATAAAAATAATCCTAATTACATTCTTCAGATTAGACATGTCCTGCATTTTCGATGGTTTAGTATTTGTGCCATAGGATTAGTTTGTGATTATGCTAAAATCAGTGGTAAAGTAACATGGTTTAATACAGAATAATCAGTTTAGGGATGCAAAATTCTTTGTTTTGTTGTAAATACTTAGTTTATGAATTCTATTATGAATTCTATATGCTAAAAATACTGATGGGGTGATTAGTTCCAGTAGGTAGAGTTGAAATAGTTTTGTTGCAAGTTAAAAAGCAAAGAAATGGTCTTATTTAGACTGGTGTCTTTTATAAATGAGAGCTGCAACTTTTCTCGCTACTCAAATGTATTTTTGATTATAGTGACAAAGATTAAATATTAGTGTATAGCTGACAGTACGTTCCCATTTGGTTGCAAAACATATCTAACACACAAACATGGAAGGCTCTTCAATTTCTCACTTGTTTCATATTATTCACACGTAGAGTAAGTGTGAGAATTGATTTGCACTGTGTTGGTGTAACTGAATTAAGGAAATAACCATTTTATGCCAAGGTAATTATTTTTACCTCCTTTCTTTTCTAGCTCTTATAGGTACTTTTGCCACCAGAGTTAGAATTTGAGTAATCTACACTAAATATTTTGCAGATAAAATGTAGGCAATACCTAAATGTACCAAAATATTTAAGGGGGTGTTTTTCTTAATAGATTTTAGAGTGTTTCTTGTATAACTGTTGCTAATTATGAACCATAGCTTTAATCTGAAAATATGTGCCACTTTCTTGTAGGCATTTAAGAAAGGAAAGAAGGGAAGTTTCTAATATACTGAAGGAGTTAAGGCTGCAAGTTAATGCAAAAACTACAAGGCTTAACATCGATGCTGAAAATATCTGGAATAGTGCTTTAAAAGGATTTAGACAGAGCAACTTCAGTCCTACAAATGCCATTGAAATAAAGTTCACAAACTGCAAAAGTAAATCAAAGACAGACACTTCTGCTGCAAAAAAACGCCGTTTCTTCCAGTTACTAATGCTTCACCTTCAGAATTCATCATTGTTTGAGGGCTCTTCTGCAAAGAACTTGTCTCTTGATTTTCAAGGTAGTTAAATGCTTTATTCAAGAATACATTAAGAACTGTGTAAATTGAAAGGTTTGGGTTTTTTTTAATCTTCAGCCAGTATGACTGTCAGTTCACAATTATAGTCCTGATGGAAAGAAATTGGGTTTTTCTGAATCTTTTTGCTTTTCAGTTCTTAAGGGGCGTGGGGTATGGATTGGTAATTCAAAAAAAATGGTTTAGTTGGAAAAGTTGATGACAACCAAGGAAAAAATACAGCATATCATTACACTTGGAACTTTTAAATTGATTTGTTCTCTACAAGTGAACTTCTTCCTGACTTGCTTTCTCTGTTACTTATTTTCCTTTCCTTAAATTTCTAGAACATTATCTCTGATAGCATGATGTCTGAACACCCACACTTGGTTTCTTATGCTTCAGAATTAAACCTGTATTGGGTACAAAGTGGAAGGATGTTACATCTCCTCCCAAACATTGATAGTGGCTGAAGGGCTGGAGTAAAAAGAATGTGGTATTTCTATGTAAAAAATACCAGTGTTATTGTTTCAACTAGCAGGAGATGGCAATCCTCATTTGTTAAAACTCCTAGAGAAAAAAGGAATTGCATTTTAAGATTTCCTGTTTAAAAAAAATAAATAAATCTGTGCATATATAGTAAATATATTTTTTCATTTGCAGCTGTAAAGGAGAATCTTTACTTTGAAGCTGGTAAAATGATCGCAGTTTCTCTGGTTCATGGTGGCGCATCTCCTGGTTTCTTTTCCCAAACACTGTTCAGTTGTCTTGTCTATGGTCCAGAGAATGTGAAGCCAGCTTTGGAAGATGTTGCTGATGCACATGTCGCAGAAACAATAAAAATGGTAATAAAAAGTAAACTTACTGGCAAGTTGTTCATGACTGTATTTGGAGATGTGTACAGGCTTACTGAATATAACTTTTGTTCAGATTAAAAAGCCTATTTTTCGTATATATATACACAGGCTTGTAATAAATTCCTTGCTTTCTATCTTCCAATACAGATAAAACATGCAAATAGTCTATCCAGCCTACAGTCTACAATAAACAACTGCTACGAGTTCCTTGGTGCTGCTGGATGTTTAAGACCTATAACAGCTTTGTGTGATAAGGATGTGCTGGTGAATGACCTACTGATCCACCATGTGATCAAGAGAATCATTTCACCTTTAGAAAGGTTTGCTTGAATTTTCAAAATTCCTGGATATTTTCTCACCAAAATACTAAATAATACATTTCTAAAACTAACTTTGACATGTGCTTACTCATTCTCCATTTCGACCAATGTACTGTAATTTTCAATGGATTAAGTAGCAACTGTAACTAGTTAGTTAAACTGAAAGAATAAAATTATTTCCCTGCATATCCACTCCATTCCACTGCTCCTTGGTCACATTCCTTTTTAAACCTTCTGAAGAGGGCATAGTTTTAAACAATATTGCTGTCCCAAAAGTGGGATTGTTACCTGGTGTGCAAAAAGCCAGTACACACACAGAGTCAAGGTATTTTATTGTCAGCTGTATTGCAAAATAGGGTGCTGGGCGGAAGCTCTGCAAAGCTAACAGACCTTAGTTTTGTGTACCTCAGCTAATATACATTTCAGAGAAAAAAAAATTGTTTTTCATTGGTCAAGAGTTACCGAATATATGATTAATTAGTACTCTTCTACTGGGTAAATTGTTCTTGCTTGCCATGTAAATGAGCATGCTCACATGAAGGATGGGGGGGAAAGGGGAAAGGAGCCTTTTCAGTCTTGAATTGGGTCAGTGGTCACGATCTCTCCCTACCACCTTTACTTCTCACCCAGCTACTGCCATTTCTTGTTAACTACTTGTTTTTCTAGTGCTTGTTTTCTCTTTGGCACCTTCTGGTACAGATGTTTTTTATCAGTCTTTAGCAGTTCCAAGGTTAAGGTAGCTAGTAAGGAATGCATTGCTTTACAAAGTCTTGTTGTTCTAAGTGATGTTAATCTAGCTGGACACTGTTATCACCATGGCAAATTCCACTCTTGCTGTGCAACAGCATGAAAAGCCTGCACTACTGAATTGCTCTAGCTTATGTTAATTTTTAATTCAGAATTGTTTGAATTTAAAATCTTTAAACTTCAGAAGTATTAAATATATGTTTAGAATTTAATTGAGTTGTCCAGAGTTTGAAGTAGGGAGTTTGTGTGCCATTAGGAGGGCAATAATGTGCACAGGTGTGACTTGGCCTACTTAAAATTGGTGCATTGTTTGTTCCATGAGGTAGTGATGACTTCAAATAGCTGGGAAAGTTGCAGCTGTTGACTGTTTTTTGATTGGCTTATCACCTTACTTCCACGTTACATTCTTCAACTGCTCAGTAAAAAGACAGATGCTAATTTATCCAACAAGTGTAGTTTGGTTTATACTTAATGCATTTAGGGTGTTATCCTTGACAAAGTTGAATCAACTGAATCTGCAGAAGCTACGAAACTTAATTTTGATTGTGATGATTTTTTTAATGAAGTTGAGAATAATTAATCTTTCAGTGAAGACCCTCTTCAGGTGGCATATTTGACCAATCTATTATCATATTTTAAATGTAGCCAGTTAAAAGTGAAAAGTAGTTAAGTAGCCTGTTTATGGGAAAATGCTGGTTTGTGCATTTCTGGAGATGTGCTTAAAATGTACAAAAGGGAGTACAGCATGAATGTTCTTGTCAGGGACTGATAGTAAGTAAAGAGTTAGTCACTTTATCTGTTAATGTTTTACACTACTGACTGTACACATTCAGCATCTTTATTCTGAATTTTACCGATTTAGCCTCTTGATATCTAAAAGATGATGAGTAAACAACTAAAGTGAAATTTTAATTCTGGTTTAACATGGTGGTTAAGTTGTAAAGCCAGTTGCTTGAATTATTCTTACCCAGTACACTGTAACTAGTAGGTTTTTTCACCCTACAGAGCTTTGATTTTCTTTAAAAAAAAAAAAATTAAATCACAGAAACAAATTGGTGTGTAGGTGAGAAGGGACTTCTGGAAGTTACCTTCTTCACTCCCACCCCGCTCAAGCAGGGCCACCTAGAACCAGTTGCCCAGGACTGTGTCCAGACAGCTTTTGAATAACTCCACAGATAGAGACTTTCTGGGCAACCCATGCCAGTGATTGGTCACCCTGAGAGTAGAAAAGTATTTGCTGATGTTCAGCTGGAACCTCCTGTGTTTCAGTCTGTGCACATTGCCTCTGGTCCTGTCACTGGACACCACTGAAAAGAGCCTGGCTCTGCCTTCTTTGCATACTGCATTCAGATACTTCCACACACTGAGATTCCACCTCAGCCTTCTTTTCTGCAGGCTGAACAGTCCCAGCTCTCTCAGCCTTTCCTCAAAAGGTTATGCTTCAGTCACAAAGCCCAGCACTGGACACAGCACACCAAGTGTGGCTTTACCATTGCTGGGAAAGGATCACCTCCCTGAACCCTGGCCCTTGGCACCACAATTTCTTATGCAGCCCAGGATACTGTTATCTGTATTTGCCATGGGGAGAAATAATAACATGTGAACCCATGCAGACTGCAGAAGCCAAGTGAAGGGTATCTTTTCAGACACCTAATTTTGCCTAGGGATGAAAAAGTTTCTAAAGGGATATTCGTAAGAAAAAAGTTCAGTATGTTCTCACATAAAAATTAAAAAGTAAACCATGGCTGTATAGTCAAGTATTAGCAAATTTAGTTTCTGTTTATCACTGGTATTTCTTTCATCTGCCCCAAATGCTCCACAGGAACAGATTGTTAAAATGAGAATTCAATGCATTGTCCAAGGTGGGACTACCATGTACCTTTAATTGACCAGACTTGGAGACTGCAGATGGGAAAACTTCATTATGTCTAGTCTTACAGCTTTATAAAATGCAAAGTATGATTAGTTAGTTACTACTTTTTTGATCCATGCTTGCTCTTCTTTCCCCCCTCTCCCCACTTCTAGTTTTAGGCAAGGTTTGAGAACTCTTGGTGTGCTAGAGAAAATGCAAATGCATCCGGATGCATTCTCTAGTATATTGTGCCACAAACCTGAAGGACTTTCAGTAGAAACTCTCTGTGATCTCTTTACAATCCATTCCTCGTCAGATGTAAATGAAGTTGAAGGTGCTGATTTTTGGATGGCTTACTTGCAAGATGTGAAAAGTAAGTAACTTTTTTTTCCTTTCCCCCTGTCGTGGTTTAAGTCCACTCAGAACCATGTAGTTGCTCTCTCGCTCATCCCCCTTCCTCCCGCCCTCCCCCAGCTTTCGGAGGGAGGGGGAGGAGAATCAAAAGAATGTAACTCTTGAAATTAGAACAGTCCAGTAACTAAGGTATAACACCACCAATTGCTTCCACCAATAATAATAATGATAAGGGAAATAACAAGGGAAGAGAATACAACCGCTCACCACCTGCTGACCAATACCTGCCTGACTGAGCAGTGATCTAGCCCCCAGCTTATATAGTGGGCATGACATGCTGTGGTATGGAATACCTCTTTGGTTAGTTTGGGCCAGGTGTCCTGTCTCTGTTTCCTCCTGGCTTCCCCTCCTCCCTGCCAGAGCATGAGACTCAGAAGGTCCTTGGTCAGACTAAACGTTACTAAGCAGCAACTGAAAACACTGGTGTTAGCAGTGCTGTTCCCAGGCTGAAAGTCAAAAACACAGCACTGCACCAGCTACTGAGAAGGAGAAAAATGACTGCAACTGCTGAACACAGGACACCCCCCCATCTCCATTCAGGGTATTTAGCTGCTGGTATGTGAACAGGGTTTGGATTTTAGAGTTCAGTACGGTAAATAAATGAAGGTTTTGAGGTCACTGTCAGTTCCTCATTGTTCGTTCTTCCCCTCTTCCTTACTAATTATAATTTCTGAAAATTCTAATGAAACTTGAGAAGGGTAAATATATGAAAGATGACGGTTGGTTTGGGGGTTTTGTTTGTTTGGTTTTGGGGTGTTTTTTTTGTTTTTTTTAAAGGCACTCTCCCTCACCCTGAGTGGTACAAAAAAATCCTTTATTCCTCTGTCTTTAGCTTTGCTGTTAGCTTATTAGATAGTCTCAAGATGAAAGCCAGTGGTCTCTTGTTGCAGAAGAGGTTTTCTTTCCTATTTACTTAAAATTTTTCAAAACTAACCCAAGTGGGTTTTTCATCCTGAAAATTTTCTTATTTGCCCATATAAATGCATATTAATTCGGGGTATTGATCTTGGTTTCCTGCTTCCAGGTTTTTTTCCATCTAACACTTAACATTCAGGATAATGGTTTATTGGTAATAGGGTATAAATGATACAACCTAATCCTGCTTGTGGTTTGTTTGGTTTTTTTTTAGGTGGTGAGTCTGTAGTGACATTGGAGGATATTCTGCTCTTTGTAACAGGCTCTTTTTCTATACCCCCCACTGGGTTTGATCCTGAACCTACTGTTAAGTTTTCGCATATAAGGTATCCTGTTGGAAACAGACTCCATAATTGCTTAGAGCTCCCTATAACAAAGACGTATGAGCAGTTTAAGAATAAAATGGAGTTCACCATCAGAAACACACTAGGAGTTGAAAGAGAATAAAATTTTTGCTACAAACTGGATGTTGAAAACTTCCAAATCTCTGCAGGAATGTCTGCTTGCAAATTGCTACTGTATTTTGGGACAGCATACTCTCGGCCTTTTCCCCCAAGCATATGCTAAAAGTAGTAATTTTGTAAGATGGAAAACAATTTTCAGATGAAAATGCTCTTTACCTGTCAAAACATCTTCCTCTTTGAAGTTGCCTTTAAGAGTCAGCAGTCTCTTGGAGAAGTACTTTAAATGTCTACTTTTGCTGTAGACAAGCATGAAATGTTGTCAAATTATGTAACATTCTAGCTATTTCCCATGGGTAAGTATGATTGATTTACATACTTAATTAGCTTATTTATTAAAGTTAAATCGGGTACATTTTGAAGATCACTGCTGTAGAGCTTTGTCTCAAGTAAAACTGTGATGTAGTTCTTCAGTTGTTCCATGTACAGTTTTTTTCAGTAATAGTTTTTATATTGATGACTCGGGGGGGGGGGGGGGACGACACGGGTGATAATTCATACAAACCTATGAAAGGTCATTTTGGTTAGTGCATTAAAATACAGTTAAGGGCTGGAGAAAACCTAGGCAAAATAATTAGGAGCAAGAACATAATCTAGTTGAACGCGAGTTTCTATTGTTAGACAGAATCTTTGGTATTTGCACATATTTCTGCATTCTACTGTTATACACTAGCCTTTAATTATACGTTTAGACAAAATAGTAAAACTTGGAAGCAAGTCTCGAATATGCAACAATAATTCGTCTTTCAAAATGAAATTTTAGAGTTAATCTAGTTCAGTGTAAGAATTTGTTGCTCAGAACATGTTACTTTGTCTTCCATGGAAGCCAATTTTTTCATAGGTATATACACTAAAACTATTTGTTGAATTAAAGGCAGTCTGCCATCAACCTTGTTAGTGCCTGACACTTTTCTAGCTTTTAGCCTAAACTCTTTCTGTTCAAATATAGGTGCAGTCTGAGCAACGTCAGCTGAATGAAATATATTTCAGTTCTGCAGTATTTGTATAAATAGTAAGCCATAAAAGATACCTACACAGTAACACTTTAATGTTACTAATACTAGAACTATTAAACTAAAAGCACGTTTAAGTAAAATTTTTTAAATATAAGTAGGTGTCTTTTTTTTTTTTAAATTATTATTTCCTTCCGTGTCAGTTTGACCACCTTATACTATGTCCCAAACGTAGGTTTTACTATAGATTATAAAGATAGATATGTATTGGTATGTGTATATATATATCTCCACATTCTTCAAAATACCGAAATCTGAAGAATAATTTTATACTTCTTAATTAATATAGCTTGGGTTTAATTGTAAATACAAACGGGATTGCCTTACTTTGGATGCCTTGGCAAGAAGGTACATCCACAATAAATTATAAATGGATAGGTGTTTCAGGAAAAAAAACCCACCAGAACCAGGCTGATCTGGTTTCAGGTTCATTGCAAGTATTCCTCCTCTTAATAAATTGTATTACTAAATGCTAATTACATAGCAGTGGCAGTCAAGACTCACAAAATTGAGACTATGCTGTAAAGGGTTAAAGACAAAGAGGCAAATGGGTACTGTTCATTAAACAATATGCAGGTATTTTGAAATATTTTTTAAACTGCTAAAGCTGCTTTCTTTCTTGATCAGGGGAAGGGTTTTCTGGTTCTGAGCCAAGTGTATTAAAGTCCCCTTTAAAATATGTATCAGTGAGATCTTGGAGAATGTCAGTTGACTGTTTATAAACAAAGTGTTTTCTCATTCCATTCTGATTTAATTTTTTCTCCAATAATATTCCATGTTTATTGCTTTTGCATAATTTTTAAATGTCATACTGCCAATAACTTCTTTATATCCTTACCCTTCAGAATGCTCTGTTTATCGCAAATCCATCTGCATAATGATTCATTGTATGTTCATATTCTTAATACATAGCAGTGTGACTCCTGCAAATAGGTAATTATACTTTAAAAAATGAGTGGTGTACCCAATGGAGTCTTCCTTTTTCTTGCCTAGTCAGAGATAAATGTCTTCTGTAATACTATGTTATTTTTCTATATGGGAAGTACAGAACTTACAGAACTAGCAACAAGAGAGTGTAATTTTAAAGGACAGTTCTTGGACTTTTGGTACCAGCAGTTGTAAGGGAAATGGTTTAGAACTTTGAAGTAGTAAACTGTATTTTAAAACCTTTGGTGAAGAAAGGTAATGTGGTTATAAGGCTTCAAAAAGTACCTGAGATAAAAATAGGGTTCACATGTTTTACTGCTTATTAGTTTTGAATTCAGCAGTTTTATGTAAAGGTAGAACTAATGTCATTTGTAAGTTAACTTTAAAACTCTGCTATACAATGCTGTATCAAAACATGGAATTACAGTCTTCAATACTGCTTGAGAGGACTTCTTTCTTACACAGAACTTGTTCTCATTTCCTAATACTGATATGTACACATTCAAGACAAGTTGCCTTTCCTTTCTTGTTAGTTTGATCAGCTCAACCTATACATTCTAATATAATCCTTGATATATTCAAATTGTGTTCCTCAGTGCTAGTGTGGAGAGGAACTTTCACTTTTCTGATCCTTTTTAACATTTATATAGACCAATCTTTTAACTGTTCACTAAAATTCCATTGAATAAGTTGACTTCCAGTCCATCAAAACACAGAAAGGTCTCTTGACTGGAAAACATAAAAGCAATTTCTGTAGCTATAATGACCATCAGGTTTTCAGTTGCTATAGCAGGTCACTGAAGTGCAATATTATCAGTTAGTTTTCATTTTACATAAACTGCAACCTGAGGCATGTCTGGAGAATAGTTTAGAGAAGTTGCTTGCTTTCAGTATTTCTGTAATACACGGAGATTGACTGTATCTGCATTAGCCTTGTGTATTAAATACATTTTTGTAGAAGTTACAGCTTTCACAAGATGTGTCAAGGCCACAAGGTAACTACTGCAGTCCTTTGTGTTTTGCCAAAGAACTTCACCCCACAGCTTCTGCATCAAACCCTAGGCTTCCATCTGGAATTAGCACATCCAATAAGCTATTTATTTTCTAGAGTGATCATTTTCTAGTAAACAATAATAGATTAGTATTAGTGATCTGAAGAACAAAACCAAACTTCAAGTATTAGATATGTTTGAAAAATGAAGGGGTAAGAAATTTCTGTGACTTGATTTTGCTAATGCAAAAGATGCTTACTAGAAAAAGCTGTTACTGTTTTTAACTGGTTAATGAGTGAAATACAGTCAAAAGAAATTAGTATTAGTTCATATTTAAGATCTAAACCATCGTGTACTGCAGCTTTGGCTTTTTTCATTAAGCTGTTCAGTCTTAAGATTGGAAGACTTGAGGATTTAGAGAGGTATATGTGAAACACAGGGCAGAGTATGTCATTAATTCACACATTCTGCATGTGCATTTTGAAAATAGTATCAAAAATTCTCATTCAAATAGAAGTAAATGACACTGCAGGCTACAAAATATGCTTTTATAGTTTCTTGATTCTGTATTATATAAGGCTCAATCTTTACCCTTTTTTCACTGAAGGGAATATTAGTTGGGTAAAAAAAAATGAAAACTTCTGGAATCATGTATACAAAAAATCATTGTCAAGGTATTAATGTTTGTAAAACAAAAACAATGGAACCTTCTGATTTTGTATTGCATAAACAATGCTCTTTTTAAAACTTACTTTTTGTAATATTCCAATTACTGTATAATTTTGTAAATAGTTTTAGCTCTAACTGGAGGATCAGTGCCTGAAGTGTTGCATCTTCAAGCAACACTGTACTTGGCAGGTATATCATCAGTGTTGAAGTAATTGGTAATTGTGGGAAATAACTGCCATGTATATATTCAAAGTGCAATAAAAAGTTTAATTTCTTTTGGAATAAATTTGTAACTTCACTGGTATTATTTTGGTGATTTAATGGCTTTTAGCTTTAGAAATGTTATTGCTGTTGTCTGTAGTTCCATTTGGGGACCTGCATACACCTTTATGTATACATCCATAGCACGTTTACCGAATACCTTTGTATCCAAAACTGACTTGGGAGTGAGTCTCCGCTTGCAGAGATTCTCCACTACAGGACTTGTGTAAGGGTGCAGTGATGAGCAAAAATGCGATCAGCCAAAGGAAGGCTGTGCACTGATCAAAGGCAAGTAACTTTTAACTATTTTTCTTTTCCATAAATCACAAACTTTTACGTTTGAAAAACATGGAAAAAAAAAAAAAGCTCTTTTCCTGTAGTTAATCTGAGTGCCTCGGGGCTGCCCTCCATCCAGTTAAGGGAGCATTTCATGTGTTTGTTGGAAATTCAGTCCGAGAGAAGAGCAAAAACTCTTGCTGCCACTTTTTGCTTTGGCGTGTGGAGGGGAAGGGGGGGGTGAAGGGGAAAACAGAGGTGAAAGACAGCCCCAGCACGTAGTCTGAAAGACCTCAGCCTGTTTTTATGTTCTCAGCTGCGGCAAAGCACAGGCCCAAATTTAAATCAGGATGCAGCTCCCTGAAGACCGGGACGGACTCCAGGCCTCCGGGCGGCAGCGCTGAACCCAGCCGTCTTGTGGTTACCTGGCGCCCTCGCAGCCGGCGCTGAGGAGGTTCGGCCGAGCCCCACCCCTCGTCGCCGTACGGAGCGCCACGTCGTCTGGCGGCTGCGTGCGCGTCGGTGGGCGGGGTGCGGTGCCGCTGCTGGGCTGGCGGGGCAGGAAGATGGCGGCCGGCATCCGCGAGAAGCAGACAGGTGAGCGGCTGCCGCGCCGCGTCGCGGGGACTGCGCCAGCCGCCTATTGCGGGGCGAGAGCGCTCAAGGTCGGGCCCGCGCTGCAGCTGGGGCTCTCACCTGCCTCCCCCCGCCCTATCCCCGGCGGGGCCCTGGTGCAGGATGCGGGTGTCTCCGCGACGCCTCGCCTCTGTCGGGGGTTTCGCGCCCGGTTTGGCTTTCCCGGCTACAGGACGGAGGCACTGTCCCTCCTCCTGCTTCTTCTCCGGCGGCCGCTGGGGTGCCGCTCAGCTGCCTCTGCAGCGGCGGGCCTGTGGCTCCGGGTGACTCTGGGAGCAGCTCTTGCCGAGTGGGCTCGGCCCCGCTGAAGGGCTCAGGGCCGCGGCCGAGGTGCCGCCGCGGTGTGGAAATCGCCCGGCGAGGGGCTCCTGCGGCCCGGGGAAGTGTGCGGAGCGGGTTGTGAGCTCCCTCGATTCGGCTGCCTTTCTGCCCGTTGCAGGGATCAATGGGAAATACGGTTTAATGGTGCAAAACCAAAGCTGCACTTGCGATGCTCCTCCTGAGGCTATATAGGGCTGTCGGAGTGTGTGCTGACCGTCAGGAAGTTGAGAGTGCGAGATTACACGGGAGGCTTTCTGTGGTTAAAGGGTTGTGGCTCTCCTTACGTACTGCTCTGCGTTCAAAACTGACTCTTGCTTCTCTCTCTTCATGCTGCTTTATGGAGTCTTAAGCTATCTATTTGAACGTACTACTGAAGCATAGAGCCTATCGACTCCATAGTACTCTACTTCGCTTACTCCCCAAGGTTTTGGTCAGTAGTTTGAGCTGTAACCTTGTCACCTTCTCCATGACAACTGCAGTGTCTTTCTGGTGGTACAGAGGGTTCTGGGTGCATTTATTTAACATGAAATGTCTAAAATCATTTGCCAGACAATCTCAGTCTTTATTTCTGTGTAGACCTTAAATATTTACTAGTAGTATTCTTTTTTCTTTTTGTACCAGTAGTCTACTTTCTGTAGTCTCATTCCTGTGGCCATTTACTATTATGGCGTTTTTTAAAGTTCCTTTACATTTCTTTACTTTTCTTCACTCTGCTGCTTCTCTGATAAAGCCTGCTGTCTTTGAGCTCTTATTCCATGCAGGTTTATTCTTTTCTGTTCTTCACCTTGTTTCTTGATTATTTCAGTCAAGCTGTACCACTGAACCATGTTGTCTCTCCCATTGGGGAGGTCATTTGGAAGGTAGATTGAACAACTAAAAGGTACTCAGGGAAGGACTTATTATCATTTGGTGTTTGTATTACCACATATATGCATTATTTGTTGTGACCTTTACCCTGGTTCATAACTAGTCAAAGCATATCATCGTGCAAGCATGGTAAAAACCTGATCCTTGCCCCAGAAAGCATTCAGCCTAAATGTGAAAGAAAGTTTCGCTGCTGGTAATGTGGTTTGAAAAGGCAATGCAACAGAGGAGGAAGGGACAGACTGTGAAGGAGGGCTTAAGAAACATTGCCTGGGCATGGGTGGCCTTGAACACCGCCAAGGATGGAGCATTCACAACTTCCCTGGAATGGGTTGCCCAAGGAAGTCCTGAATGCTCCATCCCTGGCGGCATTCAAGGCCAGGTTGCACAGAGCCTTGGGTGACATGGTTTAGTGTGAGGTGTCCCTGCCCATGGCAGGGGGGTTAGAACTAGATGATCTTAAGGTCCTTTCCAGCCCCAACTATTCTATGATTCTATGATGGATGGTAGTAGGAAAGACAAAGTTCAACTGAAGTTGAGACCTGCAGCGTATGTCAAGAGCAATGAGAAGAGCTTCTGTTGTGACATTAGTAACGAAAATATGAATATGGAAAAATGTTGGACCATTGCTTAATGGAGCTGGTCATTTAGTGGTGATGGATGCAGATGAGGCTGAGGTACCCAATGCTTTCTTTGCCTCAGTCTTCACCAACAAATTCTCTTGAGGCTTCTTTGTCACTTTGCAGTCAGACATGGAGTGAGACCTCTTAGAAAACTTTCTCATCACATGAAGGAGAAAAATAATGAAATGTGACTTTTGCATTTATATTTTATGGTGGTTTTCCTCTCAAATGATATGTATAATAAAACCTTGCTAATGTGTTTAATCTCTGTTGTTAAAGTGTAAGGATAATAAAGCATGATTCTGCTTTGTTTTCCAGTGGCTTTGAAACGTATGCTGAATTTCAATGTTCCTCCTGTTAAAAACAGCACAGGAGAACCAGTATGGAAGGTAAGGACTATTTGAATAGGAAAAGGAGAATTTTATACTGTTCAAAAAAAAAAAGTTCAGTTTTTCAAATTTTACCTAATTCAAGCGTCTTCTTTATGTTATGAACTTTTACAAAATAATTTTTCATGTGGTATGAATATACAGAAATGAGTATCAGAATTGCTTAGAAAAATATTTATTTGAGATACTGGCTACTTGAAGATGCAGTGTCTGACTATGTAGGCAAGATTATAATGAGTAACTGAGGAAGATATTTTTGAAATACACTTAGGTGTGTTTCTCATTGCATGATACCTTACAGGTGAACTCACAGAGTCGGAAATAAGCTTAGTTCCTTAAATTTAGAACAAGCTCAGCTCAAGCTATGTTTGTTAATTTTTAAAAAGTAGCTAACTTGTGTGAGAAGTTTTTGCTACTACAAAGTATATATTCTGTCTCTTCATCTCTTCTGTTGCCTTTTATCACTACTTCCTTTTTTCCCCTCTCTGTTTCTTCCTTTGTTTCTTCCAAATTCAGAGAAGTTCTGCATTTACAATAATAAATTTCTGACAGTGAATTCCTGTTTGACTGACGCTTTTCAGGAGATGGAAATTATTATTTTTTTCCCTTTTATCAGAGTTTTTCTTCAATTTTTATTTATTTATTAATAAGCATATATGTAAGTCCATGACAAATTAATTATTAATTATAAATTGGTAAATGTTTAGTACTTCTCAGGTTAGAGTAATAGTTTCTTAAACTGAAATTCCTGTATCCACCGTATCCCGTATTCTGCAGTATCCACTTTTTACGGCACTTTGTAAGAAGATGCCTATCTTTTTCAGGTTCTCATTTATGACAGATTTGGCCAAGATATAATCTCACCTTTGCTGTCAGTGAAAGAGCTGAGAGATATGGGGATCACTTTGCATCTGTAAGTACTTTTAAAAATTTGTGGGTTTTTTTTTTTTTCCTAGAAAGAACTTGATTTAATATTCCCCAGAATCGTGATCACTGAAAATCATTCAATGAATAACTACTAGAATAAAGATTATACCCTGACTTGTTCCTAAAATCTGATGGTATTATTCAGGGAGTGGAGAGATGATTCCATACATTGGTCAGTAGGATTTCTTACTAAGTACAGGAAGCCCCTCTTCAAAAAAAAAAAAAATTATCCAATAGGTATTTTTTTGAATCTATACAAATTCCTGTCTGTTACAAATCTGTATTGTCAAGCAGGTGGAATCTTTAAGTATTATTTTAAGGATTTTCCCATTTAATTTTCTCCAGATTACATTTATTTAGTTCCTTGTCCTTCCTAAGTGAAGGCTAGAAATGGAAACACAGTTTAACATGTTGACATAGCGGCAGAAATGTGAGAAAAATGTGACAAGCAGGAAAGGCAAGTTTAATGCTATGAGATATGCAGGGTTTTTGTTGTTATGTCAACAATTTATAATTGGTGTATGAACTTGGTGGATGTGGTATTTTACCTTCCTCTGAATGGATTAATCTATATTTGAAGATCTATGCCTTTCCTCAAGCTTTGAATAAACTTTGGCAACATCTATTGAGCCAAAGAAAATACAAATATGATTTTTGAATTTTTTTCATGTGTTCCTCTTACAAAAAATCTGGCTGAATGTAGGGAGAAATTGTAGGAAATTAAATGTGTCTGTACAAATAATTTCTTTAACTTTTATAATTTTACACAAATCAGAGGAGGAACACATTAAAGATGTACTTCTTCCTTTCAGGCTTTTGCATTCAGATCGGGATGCTATTCCAGATGTTCCAGCTGTTTATTTTGTGATGCCAACAGAAGAAAATATTGACAGAATGTGCCAGGTAACTTGCATTCTTAATGTTTCAAATGAGTGGGAACAACAGTGTGTGGCATACTCCTGCACTCACTGGAGTGTGACTGTTCTGTATCTGCTCCTTATGCATACCTGAACACCTTTTCTTGCATTTTTTATATATTAGCACATATTTGTCAAAAAATATTACCTATAATTTTTACACACAAAACTTCAACTTCCCAGAAAGTAGAAAGGTAAGTATGTCTTCTCTGTCAGAGAGAGTATTCTGCAGGTGAAAAGACAGGACGAAGTGGGCACAAACTGAAATACAGGCAATTCCATTTAAACATAAGAAAAAGCTATTTTAATGAGGGTGGCAAATGCTGGAACAGATTGTGTATAGAAAGTTTCTGAAGTCTCCATCTATGGAGATGTTCAAAACTTTACACAATCCTGAGACACCTGCTTTATTTGACTCTGCTTTGAGCAGGAGGCTTGGACAAGGCTAACCTCAGTTTTTCACGTTCTCTGGGAAGGGAAAAAAGGAAATGAGATTTTTGGTCAGCGATAAGTTATGGAACAACGGTTGCTGTCTGGCAGCTTAAATTTCATTTCCTGGGTTTTTTTGCAGTTCTGTGTTAGGTTGATTATGTTTAGTTATGTAGTGAAAACATGATGTACAGGGCTGTATGAACAGAAAGATAAACACTTCCCAAAATTTGTTGAACTGTGATTAATTGGAACATCACATAGTAAAAGTATGAATGTTTTTTAATTATTCAGACATATATTAGTATTTATTCAGGAAAAAGCTTGTGGTTTTCCTTCCTTTTAGGATCTTCGAAACCAGCTTTATGAATCTTATTATTTAAACTTTATTTCTGCCATTTCAAGAAGTAAACTGGAAGATATTGCAAATGCTGCCATAGGTGCTAATGCAGTAACTCAAGTGGCTAAGGTAAGAAAATCCCCCAGTCTCTAATGTTAAAGATACTACCACTGCAGGTGTTTTTGCATTCTTACATAGAATAGTTAGGGTTGGAAAGGACCTTAAGATCATCTAGTTCCAACCTCCCTGCCATGGGCAGGGACACCTCACACTAAACTATGCCACCCAAAGCTTCGTCTGACCTGGCCTTGAACGCTGCCAGGGTTGGAGCATTCACAACCTCCCTGGGCAACCCATTCCAGTGCCTCACCACCCTAACAGGAAATAATTTCTTCCTTCTATCCAATCTAAACTTCTCCTGTTTACTTATATCCAATCTAAACTTCCCCTGTTTAAGTTTGAACCCATTACCCCTTGTCCTGTCACTACAGTCCCTAAAGAAGAGTCCCTCCCCAGCATCCCTATAGGCCCCCTTCAGATACTGGAAGGCTGCTATGAGGTCTCCACCCAGCCTTCTCTTCTCCAGGCTGAACAGCCCCAACTTTCTCATACTGTCTTCATATGGGAGGTGCTCCAGTCCCCTGATCATCCTCATGGCCCTCCTCTGGACTTGTTCCAACATTTCCATGTCCTTTTTACATGGCCATTTCAGTGCCATACACAGCTTTTCTGACTGAATCATGAACAAAATAAATGTTGGCTAGATTCAGTGTTAGGCATAGATTTGCTCAGTTAAAAAGGGAAACTACAGTCATCTCAGTATAATGCAGCTTGGTACCATGCTTCAGCTTAGTCAGAAGTTCAAGTGCTGCAAGACCTTTATGCTAAATGATGAGGAGAAATAGAGTGGTTTCAGAGTATTCCCAGTCTCATCAGCAAAATGAGTGCATCTAGTGCGTATATAATAGGATGGAGTTTTAGCTCCTAAATACACTAAAAGTGCAGTATTAAGGCAGTTGTCATTTTTAATAGGAAATGTACTGTAGAGGTGGATGTTTCATACATGCACACTGTTACTCAGTAAACTCCTGCACCTTTATGATTTAAAGGCAGGTATCAGGTATTTACCCTCTTTACTTTTGTTCAGTGTCTGTACCAAAACCTGTAAAATATTAACTGATTGCTTTCATATATACTTAAATACATTCACCTGTTCTCAAGCCTGTTAGGAAGTACTGCTGGCATGAGAAAAGGAAACTCTTGTGAAATGAAATGAAAACTACTAATCTTATTTAAACTTGAGATCTCCAGTAGGAGTGAATTGGTGTAGCACTGTGAACTAACCCTCTTAAATGTTTTTTATGGTTGTGATGTCCCATGTTATAGAGAGGTTTAATTTTTTTCCTGAATGTACAGGTATGTTACAGAAAAATCAGAATTCGTGGGCTGTAATCTCTCATTGTCTAGATATTGCCCTCTTTCCTTGATCCTGCCTAAGAGCTCAGCCCTGTTTATGTTGTAGTCCTTCATATTAATAAAAAATAAACCTATGATTTTATAATGTCCTCAATATGTGTTTTTTTCAGTGATAGTTGGCTCCTAAAAATTTGCCTGCAGAAATATTTGTGCTGTTTTCTTTTAGCACTTTTCAAGTGCTCTAGTGTTTTGTGCTATCACTTCATCTTTGCAGGGGCTTTTTAATTCATACATGATATCTTAATTTCTTTATTTTAATGGGTAGTGCTGTAAAAGGTTCAAAAAGAAGTAGCAATAAACCACAGAGATTTTTTAATGCTTCACTCTGTGCTGTTCTGACCATTTTTCCTTTATTTCTAGGTGTTTGATCAGTATCTTAATTTTATTACTTTAGAAGATGACATGTTTGTATTGTGTAACCAAAACAAAGAACTTGTTTCCTATCGTGGTAAGTAAAGTTTGTATAAAAAATTATACCAAAATGTCTGATACTGAAATTTACTCTTGAAGTGATAGCTAGTTCTAATCAGTGATTTTATTTTGATCTGCTCAGAATTCAGGATTATCTGCTAGATGTAGTTTAAAGTCGTGAAGGAAGCAGTTCTTGGATATTAATTTCAGCATCTTTACAACACAGCTATTGTAATACTGAAAAATACTGATGTATCTTTAAATAACAAATTTAGTCAAGCAAAACTGCAGTATAGGTATAAAACGAGTAGCAGTCCTTTTTATACATTGTCATGGTTTAAACCCAGCCAGTAACTCAGAACCACACAGCTGCTCGCTCACTCCTCCCTCTTCTTCCCCCCGGCTCCTGGAGTGATGGGGGGGGGGGAGAATCAAAAGAATGTAATTCCCACGGATTGAAATAAGAACAGTCCAGTAACTAAGGTATAACACAAACCACTGCTGCTACCACCAATCATAATAATGATAAGGGAAATAACAAGGGAAGAGAATACAGCTGCTCACCACCAGCCGACCGATACCCAGCCCGACCAAGCAGTGATCTAACCCTTCTGGGTAACTGCCCTCAGCTTATGTAGTGGGCATGGCATGCTGTGGTATGGAATGCCTCTTTGGTTAGTTTGGGTCAGGTGTCCTGACTCTGCTTCCTCCTGGCTTCCCCTTCTCCCTGGCAGAGCGTGAGACTCAGGAAGTCCTTGGTCAGACTAAACATTACTGAGCAGCAACTAAAAACATCGGTGTTATCAGCGCTGTTCCCAGGCCAAAAGTCAAAAACATAGCACTGCACCAGCTACTGAGAAGGAGGAAAATGACTGCTACTGCTGAAAACCAGGACATAGATGAAGTAATATAGGAAAAAAATTTGTATTGTTTACGCATGTAGGTAGGCACTGCAGGTGCCTGCTGTGTTTAGGCACTACTATTTAGTCATGATCCTTTCTGCAGTTCTTAAGGAATTAGTGTTTTGTTTCTGTGTGAATGGTCAGTTGGAAAGTTACTGTAAGGAATACAAAGCAAGAAAGATGACTTTAACTGACAGAATTTCTTCTGTCTTTTAGACAGCGACCAGTCAGTGTTTCCTTTTCTTGAGACATGAAAACGTGGTGGTGTGCAAGGGGAGATGGTTAGGATCAAGGGCCAGATTAGCACAGGGAAGAATCTGGGAAAGGACTTTCTAGAAAATAAGAGATGCTGATTGCTTCTTCATGCATGCGAGCCGAATGTCAGCTTTTTCATAAGTCTCTGAGTTGTAAGTGAAGTCAGCCGCATGGAAGCCTTTTTTTTTCTCCTCCTGGGACTTCTGCTGGACCTCTTTTGGAACCTAGCAGGGAAACCAAGTGGCTGCCTTAGGTCAGTTGCCTCTACATCTATGGCGCTATGGCAGCTCAAGTCAACATATATACTAGTTGGCATAACTGTCCACATGGTTTTTCTCCCTTTGATCTGATTTTTGTGTTCCTCTGACCCATTCAATATGCTAAATCAACAGAGAACTACCACACTACCTCTCCTGCCCCTCTAACTCAAATGGCTAGCTATTACAGGGTGGGTTGTCTTGCTGCCCCTGGTGTAGTTTCCCACATCTTCTCCTACTTTTACATCAGAACTAGTAGTGTTGGAGCTGCAGAGTGTTTGTTCAGTTGCCTCGTTTCTTAGAAAATAACAGCTCATTTGTGTGATCTGCAAATCCAATGCAAGGGAAGAAGCAGAATTGTGTTAGACAGAGGCAAGTCAGCCCTTTTTTAGCAGCAGCTCCTCATTACTTTAGTGTAGTTACAGTGTTTACACACAGTGTTACACAGTTAATTCCTGATTGATTTAGATGCACAGAATACTCGGTAGTGACCAGGTAGAGATGAGAATTCCCCGTATGCCGAACATTTAGTGGTAAGATCTTTCTCCTTTCTTTCAGATTCCCAGAGTTGGTACTTTGCTTTAAAACTGGATCTGTAATACTGAGTTCTGTCTCACAGAAGAGGAAAAAAGCCTCTTCTGAAGGGCATTTTTGTTTGAAAAGCAGACTCTTTTTTCACTAAAACCTGCTGTTAAAGAGTTTTAGTAATAACTGGTTTGTGTTGTGTTTGTGTGGATGTAAAGGTACTTGAGCAGCTCTCATAAGATACCTGCTACCTGCAAGGAATTTGAATTTAAATGACTGAAAATGTTTTATGTGTTTCTGCACGGTTTGTTTTCCACTCTTGGGCAGCTGAAATTTGCCACACACCAGATGGTTTCACACTATACTTAAACCAGTCTAGAAGTGGGCTGTCTCCAAAAGCTGATCAAACAGAAATCTAATCTCCCATACAGAATGATCAGTTTTCCATAAGAGCACTGATCCGATGCATCTCACCATGTGAGGCAGTAAGAGTGCAGGGGCAAAGAAATGGTCTTCTTTTGCCTTTGGAGAGTAACCCTAGCAGGAAATTGCCAGTCTGTATATAGTTTCATAATCTGCATAAGTCAGTGTAAGTCTGATGGTGAGGAAAGACAGCTACTGTTTTTGCAGCAGTACTGCCATGTGTGGTCATGCATGTAGCTGAATAGGTGAACTCAGAGCAAATATGACGGAAAAGGTTAATTATCAGTTTCTTGATTTCCTGGCTACATAACTGCATTTACACAGAAGTAATGTCAGGACAAATATTCATTATAACATTCTTCAGTTGCATAAAAATCTTTCACAGACAGAAAGAAGGCAGCGCATTCTGTCTGTCCATGTAGAAATGGACAAGAAGTGAGGAGCTTAAATTGCAACAGGAAAGTCTCTGGTCAGATATAGCCCAGTTGTTTCAGAGCTTTAGGAATTATAGGCAAATATGGATCCTGGGAAAAGTCTGCCTTTCTAGGTGCTGGTATTTCAGAAACTTGAACTCGGAATGAAAAGAAAAAAAAAAAACACCACTGAGGCATGTCTGTTGCTGCATCCCAGCAGCATAATAAGTTTGACTTCCTGAGAATAGCTGCTGATAGAAATTGCTAATACAATTCATCTGTCTAAAGTTCTTAGAGGACAAAGCGGGAGGGGGGGAAAGCACCTTTAAAGTTAGAGAACGATTGTAGCTGGCCATGCATAAATTTGGGATGGAAGGCTTAATGTTTAGAGCTTTGAATTTAATTTTTGAAGAAAGAGTCTAAGACAGGTAGTTATGTGAGAAAATTTTAAGGTAAAACGAACAAGGGTGGAATTTACACCATAACTTCAGAAATAGTGCTTGACTTGAGACCTCTGATAAGATTAGGTTTGGTGTTTCCTGTTGGCTGTTATATTCCTGTCAGTGTTAATTATTTAATAGAAATGTTGCTACATGTTATATTTTTCTGACCTAGATGTGTGAGGGAAGTCATTCCATTTGTAGTGTGAAATGTTTTAAAAGCTGGGAATTATCCCTAACTTGGAGACTAACTGTAAATTTACTAAAAAAATAAAAAGGGAAAAAAAGAAAAGGAATCTCCATTACAAGTGGTGGCATTTAGAATCTTTAAATATAGATGACTGCATACCGTAATTCTCTTTAAATTATACAGATAATTCTTGAGGATGCTATATCTGATCATTGGTTTCCAAGTAGATGGCCATTTCTGTTCCATAATGTTGTTTTCCAGGTTTTCAATAACAAGATACTGAGGCAGTTCAGAAGTTACAGTATGCATTGTCAGAGATAATTGGAAAAGGTTGTGTAGTGTTTGACATTATACAGTGAGCAGCAATTAAGTTCTCCCAATTTTTTTTCTTAAATGGATGTGCTAAGAGGGGCATTTCACAGCTTGATCTCTGCAATAGGAGCTGTTGGCTATTAACAGCCAGTATGCAAGAAGAGGATTGTTTTCTCATATTAAAGTGGCATAAACTTCTTTAACCCTATTCTTAACTTTTCCACACTGTTTTAGCCATTAACCGACCAGATGTAACAGACACAGAAATGGAAACTATAATGGACACTATTGTTGATAGTCTCTTCTGTTTTTTTGTTACACTTGGTAAGTTTTCAAATTTTAGCATGTTTTCCGTATGCTTTCCTTTTAGAAAAGATCCATATTCAGTGAGATACCTTGAAGTTTAGTGATTTCTTATAGCAAATGAAAAGCAGAATTAGATCTGTGACAGAATTCTCAGTAGTTCATGGGGTGGGTTAATGACCTTACTATACATCACTGCAAGAGACAATAAAGTCTATCATACATGGGAGTAGAGTCTTAGTCTTCAGTATCAATAGGAAAAGAATACTGAAATGCAAAGGTTTAGATTCACTGTTCTAACAAAATCTTAGTTTGCAGTAAAGATTAATAGTGCTTTAAGTTTGAATTTTAGATTTGTAGCTCTCAAAAAAAAACAAACAACACCACAAAAAAAGGCTTACATAAATAAACCCTGCAAAGATCTAAGTGAAATAACTAAAGCAATAGGAAGATGCATTAAATTTGCTTATTTTTTTTAAATTTATTTATTTTTATTGTGAGTTTTCTTGATACTTAGCTCATACATTTTTCACAGTGATGACATTTAATACAAGTTCTCACTGAAACCAGTCAGTCTGAGACAGCATTCCTACAAGGGGAGCTGGGGATCACTATAGGGCAGCCTGTTCAAGGATGATTCCGTCGGACCTATTGAGTTCTTTCAAGTGTTAGCATGATACACATTAAATCTTTTACTCAGTCATTTAAACTCTATGGTATTAGAATTTTCACACTTATATATGAGTGTGAGAAATGATAGTTAATAATTTTGAAACTTGAAAGCCATTGAAAAACATGCATGTGAAAATAACCTCACCCTGCAGTGAGTTGTAACTGACCTATCGTGATGTGTTATCAGAATTATTACTATAATTTTAATGGGACTTTCAACCTTTTGAAACTAAATGCTTTTATATGAAATAATTTGTCCGCTCTACAGCATATTAGCTATCTTTCTAGTGCACACTATACCTCTCATAAATTCCTATATGAGGTATTATTTACTTTTGTAAAACTTTATTTAATATTTCTATACGGTATTTTTTTATTTCATAAAGACTGCAAGAGACAAATTTAGTGTAAGTTTGTATTATCCACTTGAAAAATTTAATCTCAGAATGTCACAAAAAATGTGAAAGTACACTAACTTAAAATCTGAAAATTCTAATACATGTAGAAGTCAATGTATCTTTTATTAGGAGCTATTCCTATAATCAGATGCTCAAGAGGAACTGCAGCTGAAATGGTGGCAGTGGTAAGAAACTCTTTTTAAAACTCTCCTAACATCTTGTTTACTTTTCTCAGTATTTGGCAGACATCTAGTGTCATTGTGTCCTTTTCCTTATGAAGGAAATAAAACTGGAAAGGAGATATACCAGTTTTCCTTTCTGATTTCAGTTCCATGGAACTCATCTGTGGAAATGATAATATTATGGAATCAGCTGATGAGAAAATTAAATGTGAATAATCATTCCTAATCTAGAGTTTATAAAGATTTTCTGACAAGCATTATAATTACAACCATTAAGGTATATCTGCAGAGCATAGAACATGGCTGTCTGGCCTGGGTTTTTCTGTGTCTTAGAAATTTTTATCTATCTTACTGGGAAACCCTATAAGTACACGACATTTTTACTATGTCAAACTAAACTGACTGAACTTGATCAGCAATTAGGGATGAAATTACCAAACTAAATCACAATTAAAAGTCTCTGCGGCACTGTCTTCATTAGGGGTCACTGTTCTTCATTTTTATTGTCTATCTCACATCTTTGTGAAGCCTTAATACTGATTAAACCTAAGCACTCAGTGTGCATGCATTCATACTGAAGGTAACCTCGTTTTTATGAAACAGTGTGGCAATGTCTTGGTGCCTCTTACTGGTATTTTCTATTCACACACTTCGGAAGAGGGTACTTACTGTCTTGGGAGGAGATAAATGGACATAAAGGAAATACATTCTGTGTAGTCCTGGTGTAGATAAAAATGCTGGAGGGAGAAAATGGAAGGAAGAGTTTTCTTTCCTGTGTGTAGCACTTAGGCTTCCTGCAGCTAAGACTTTTATAAACTACAAAACCAGCACAATAAATCTGTGAATGTTGACCACATAAAGATGTTAGGAAACCATTGGTTTGTTAAAAGCTATTTTGTTTTTCCCCCCACCTCAGAAATTAGATAAGAAGCTCAGAGAGAATCTAAGAGATGCGAGAAACAGTCTTTTTACAGGTGACACACTTGGAGCTGGCCAGTTCAGGTATGATGTTAGTAATAAGTATGTATTTTTATTTCTTGTATTTCAGTTGTCTGAAATATTTCATTAGGATAAGTCACCACTGTTCTGAAAACTGAATTTACAGGAATTCGGTTCAAGTTCTATATTAAAAGATTTTACATATTGTCAAGGGAGTTTTCCAATCTCTTGGCATAACCAGTTTGAAAACTTTTATAGCTAATAAGTGTGCAGTCCTAGGACAGTGAGACAAGAATTATTTAACAAACCAGGTAATTTTGTTCACCCTCAAATCCATCAAGAACCAAGCTCCTGTAAATACACCAATTTTACAGGGCCAGGATAATCCAGTTGGATGTCTGAACATAGCTGTTAACAATCTTTAGTCCATTAAAAAGGAAGAAATGCCCACTTTCTCACTTGTGAGCACTGTTGTTGTGTAAAAAGTGTTTATCAGCTGATTCCTGTATGTACCAGAGGAGGACTGCTTAAGGATTACCACTTGGATAAATAGATAGTTAACCACTGTTAAGTCATGACCATTTGAATCCTTAGAGGGGAAAGAGGGGTGACAAAAGACATTGTGGATGTTTGCATGCAACTGAGAATGTGTTTTTAGCACCCTCCTGTGTATCTCCCAGATAGCTGAATGTGCCACAGGCTGCTTTAGTAAAACTTACTGCAGGCATTTACACTGTACATGAAAAGGTGAGGAGGCATGTTGGAAAGACTGTAGCTGAAGGAGATGGTTATGATCTCCTAACCAGATATAAAATAGTCATCATATTTTTTATCTCAAATTAAGAGCAGAACTTGGATAAAAGACACAAAACATCAAGGGTGGCAAAATTAAATGAGATTGAAAGGTATTAGGAGAGAGAATAGCTGTGAAATACCAATTCCCCCATTTTCATTGGAATTGAATTGTAACCACAGTTTTCTCTTTTCAGAAAATCAAAATGCCAGGAAAGGGAAACATGAGAATTTTTAACCAGTTAAATAGCTTCAGATTTTTATTCTGGTTTTCAGAATTGAGTGACTAAGGCTCTTGAGATAAAAATACTTATCGCAAGGAAATCCAGAGCATGGAATTAATATGGTTTTACTTTTTTTAAATACACTGTAATTTAGCCATCACATTTACTGCAGGGTTAATGTGCTTAAGGGAAATGGTTCCAGTAATGCTCTGATGATTCACAGCCTTCTTATTTTCGTAATAATTTTTCCATGCAGCCATAATTGAAGATATTTAGGCATTTCTACTTTCTTTTTCCATAAAATTGAATATTGATGGAATTACCACAATGCATCTCTGAAGTTCATAATTAAAAGCCCTTGAAAGAGGTATTTTTATATTTGAGGTTTATAGTGGCAATTAAGGTGGAATATTAGCCACTCAAACAGTTGCTTGGCACACAAATGTGTATCCACATGAAGAGATATTAGTTAATAACCTAAAAGGCTAGTTACTGTTTGCCTTCTGGTTAGTATTTATGCATTGGTAATTTTACTTAGTACAAAAAGAAATAATCTTTTTATCATTACTAAGACAGTGATTCATGTAATTTCTGGCAGTCATCAGCTCCAGATGCTTTGGGGAAGGCTGGAGGAGCTCTGCAGTAAGCAATTTGGCTTTTAGCTTGAAGTACATGATGTGGAAGGTTGCTGAAATCGCTGAGGATGTTACTGAGGTGTTCTAAACATGTTTAAAGAAATACTAACACCGTGTCATCTTTTCAGCTTCCAAAGGCCCCTGTTAGTCCTTGTTGACAGAAACATAGATTTAGCAACTCCTCTACATCATACATGGACATACCAAGCTTTAGTGCATGATGTTCTGGTAAGGATAAATCTGATTTTGTTACAAAAACTATTTTTCCACTCAGTTTGTTATTAAACTTAATACCAGATACTCTCATAACGCAAAATCTGTTATGTCTGTTTAATTTGGAAATTGTTTAGTAAAAAACAACTTGGAAAATTTTATCTAGAAAGGTTATTTAGCAGTAACTTCTAAAATGGTTAAAAACTTGAAATCTTGATATTATCAAAAGATAGACTATTCAGCAATCCCATGTTTTTCTTCAGTAGTTCATGATCTTTTCTGTTATGTAAACGCCAGACTCCATTAACTGCAATTCAGTTTTTAAAAATAAATGCTTTTAGTGAGATTTTATAACTGATTTAGTATGTTTGAATTCCTAAAAATACCTATTTCTGGTTTTCCCCACAAGGTGGTGTAAGTGTCCAGTGTAGAGATACCAAGTGTATTTTTAATAATTTTTTGGAAATTCAGGTAGCCTTAGATCAGTTTTATTTCCTCAAGTTTATTTTGTAAAACCAGTAGTAGCAGTAGAAGAAATGTTTATGAATGAAAGCAGATTCATGCATTTCATATATACTTACGAAGTAAATAATGACAGATACACAAGTAAGAATAATTACAATCTGGAGTCTTTTTTATGCTCCAGAATTAGTCATGCAAATCATTTAAATATCTTTGAGACATATTTTGGTTTTATTATTGAAACTGTTAGAAGAATATGTAAAATATGCATATATACATATGTTTGTATACAGAGTTGGTTGTGAATTGTATAGTCACAGTTATTTTCTCCAATGACTATTGAACTGCCTAGAGACTTGCAAACAGAAGTACTGAATTTCTACACATTGCTTTTGAAAGTCAGTGAAAGAAGGGGGTGAATAGGGGATGGAAACCTGAATTAGAATTTTTACCAGTGTAAACACTATTGCACAAGGTCTACACTTATCTCAGTTTGTCACATGCCAACCATTTAATCTGCAAATGCTCACTAGATAGTAAATCCATGCAGAGCTCCACATAATTGCCTCCTACTCAGCTGCCCGGTAAAGAAGGTAGTGTTGGGTGGCCTCAGGTATGCCCTGGGGTATGAGTTTGCTGCTTCAGGATGGAGAGGGATCGAAGATGTAGTGGAAGCTTAGGACAACTACTGCTGCAAATATGGAGGGGTATTAGAATAACACTAGATAAATGATTTGAGAATCATGGGATAGTTGTCTCTGCTGCATCAGATTTCAGTAGTTTCTCTGGAACAACTTGGTAAGTGTTGCATGTTGCATCTAATTTTTATTGAGTTGACAGGATTGTATTGTGAAATTGTAACCAAGTGGCCTGTGATTCCATGTCAAGGGCAGAAGTTTCATTTCCAGACCAGTCAAGTTACTTACTTTAAAGGTCAGCATGCCAGGTTCTTTGTGTACTGAGCATAGTATTTCATTAAATAACTGCAAGCAGCCTTTGAAAAGGCCATAAATTGTAAGTGTGAAAGTGTTAACTGAGGTGATGATTATGTAAAATGCATTTTCAAATAAATCATTTTTTATTTAAGCTCTCAGTTACAACAGTCCAGGAATTCTGTGGGATGATGAACTAAATGCTAAGCCAGGCACAAAGTTGTATGCTGCATCCATTTAGATTATAATTGTGTTTCTACATATAAACAGGCTTGTATGAATAGATTCCCCTTTCTGAATAAACAACATTTCACAAGTGGATATGGAAAAAATGGGAAGCATGGATAGAAAGCCTTATAAAGACAAAATGGGGTGGTGAAAGGAGGAACACTTAATGAGAATTATTTTGGTAAAAATTATACATGCCAAAACTAACTTGGAAACTCAGGTCACTGGTGAATTAATTTAACCACTGGTGAACTAATTTAACATCTCACAGCTTAATTGGCAATGAAATTAGTTTTGTGGGGTTTTAAGATTTTGTTAAACATACATACTTGAAAAAATACTTTTTTTGCTGAAACGTTGAACATGTCTTGTAAGATGAGGTTTGTTCTTATTCACTGCATATACTTTGAGTAGCTACTTAGTTTGGTTCCTACTCTGGTGTGGTTCATTTATAGTATTTCATTTGAAGTGTGAACTCTGCCAAGGGATAATTAAAACCACTTTAAACTGTTGACAGTTTAGAGTGATCTAGATCACTTAGAGTGATCTAGTTCTGTTCACTGTAATGACAATGTAATGGTGGAGTTTTATTTCTGAAAAAAAATACATCTATTCTAAGAGTCATGGCAGGTTCTGTGTGGTCGTTTTGACTCTCTTTATAATAATTTGACAAGCATAGATCACCGTCAGACTTTTACTGTTCTTGAAAAGGGTTAAAATGAAGTCAGCAGAGGGAACGTGTATGCTGCAGGAAAACACAGAACTGTCCTTGCAAACGTAATAGGGTAAAGAACCAGAAGACCTGCAGGGAGTGATGTGGTACCATATTGCGTGAGTGTAACTGTGTCATCTACCAAAAAAAGATATAGTTTCTAAGTTCATGCATCCTGGAAGAAAAGCTATATAGCGAAATGGCAACTTTGTTGCAAACTGTTTCCTTATCGTGCATTCACTATTTCACTAGTGTTTAAAATAATTGGAAAAGAATTATGAAGGTGTAACTAAATAGTCCTGGTAGTGGATGTTCCTGTTGCTGATGTCATGAGCTTCTGCGCAGTTTTGATACATTTGCTGTAGTTGTGTAACTCAGTTTCAGCCCTCAAAACGTTCTATGTCTGCGACCAGGAACTTTTATAGTTTAAAATTTTGGTCAGTTGTTAGAGCTCAGTTATTGCTAAATAAATGTTCTCCTGTATGGAGAGCAGTGTTCAGAGTATAGTGTCACAGACTGGTTACATGTGAGACAATCAGATGTCTTTGCTTAATATTTGTTGCTTTTCTGGTGTTTTTTCAGTGAGTGTGAGTAATTTTGGAGTTCTTACATTGCTGTTTTTACTATCTAGTTAATAAACTGCGTGCTACCATCATATGAAATTCTAATAGCTGTGTTGATATTTTTTAGAAAGTATTCTAGAAGATAATTGGTTGACTATAAAAGGCTGATTAAATAATTAAAAACTATCAAATATTTACATAGAATTCCTTTATTTTAATATTTTATTTTTTTTTTAGGATTTCCATTTGAACAGAGTTAACTTGGAAGAAGCAACAGGAACAGAAAGTTCTCCAGCAGGTGCTAGACCTAAGAAAAAAAATAAGAAGTCCTATGATTTAACTGTGTCAGATAAATTCTGGCAAAAACATAAGGGCAGGTAAGCTGTATAGGTGCAAAATTTATATTAATATAGTTAATATAAATTCTAAGTATTCTTCATATTATGGTAGTTCTACTTTTAGCTTCTTTGAAAATGTTTTGAGTTTGTTTTTTTTAAGGTATATTGGGTATGGCTAGATGGAGTTAGTTTTCCCCTTAGCAGCCTCATAGTGCTGTGCTTTGTATAGGTACCTAGAAAGGTGTTGATAACACACCAGTGTTTTGGCTACCACTGAGCAGTGCTGGCACGTCATCAAGGCCCCTCACCAAGTGGGGCAAGATCTTGGGAAAGGACATAGCCAGGACAGCTGACCCAGGCTGACCAAAGGATATTCCATACTATATGGCATCTGCTCAACAATAAAAGCTAAAAGAAGAGAGGAGAAAGAGAGGACATTCTTTTTTTTTTGTGACTTTTTTTTTCCAGAGCAGCTGCTTCCTGGGAAGCGGCCAGGCATCACCTACAAATGAGAAGTAGAGAAGAAAGTCTTTTGTTTTGCTTTGCTTTCTCATGAAACCGTCGCTTTTTCTCTATTAAACTGCCTTTATTTTCACCCATGAGTTTTGGGGAATTTTTCCATCTTATTTTCTCCCTACCCATACTGCTGAGGGGAGTGATAGAGTGGCTTGGTGGCCATCTGATGGCCAGTCAGGGTCAACCCACCACATAATGAATGATCATCATCCATGTTAATTGTATATTAGCTTTTTGTTACAGAGAGCAAAATCATTCTTATCAAAATTCCATAGAAGTATTGAAAGCAGTGAATATATCTTAGAAAGTTTAAGTAAACCTACAGTAAGATGTTATTTTCACTGATTTGACACTGCTGCATGATTTGCATATTGATATTTCTGAAGACATTTCCATTATCATCTTGATCGTGCAGCCTATCTGGTTCTGGTGTTTTCAGTTTGTTGATTTAACTGAGCCTAATGCAGAGTATTGCATTAGTCCTTTTCCAGAGGTAGCTGAGTCAGTTCAGCAAGAACTGGAATCTTACAGAGCCCAGGAAGATGAAGTCAAGAGGCTTAAAAGTATCATGGTAAGTTTTATTAGCTATATGTGCTTTATGTAAATCACAGTAGGACTTGCAGAAGTGCTTAGCCTACCCTGTCATCCCCTTTTCCCAAAAATTATCACCATATGCCAAATTTTAGGCTTAATATATTCTTAAAAGTAGGACTAGAAGTACCAGATTTCATGAGAAGGTTCAAATTCATGCATGTATTTGATTTACATTTGTATAACTTCCATATTAACTATAAAAAACACAATCCAGACATTAATACCATTATAGGAAAATAGGTTCTAAATGTACAGACTGTATTTGCATGTGAGGTCTTTGTATTTATTGTGACTATTTTTACTCCTCTTTCCAAACCCTTCCCCAAATCCAGGGTATAGAAGGGGAGGATGAAGGAGCAATAAGTATGCTTTCTGATAATACAGCTAAGCTAACTTCAGCTGTCAGGTAAGTAATCAATAATGCTTATTGTCTAATTAATTTGGAACCATTTCCAATTTTTCTGTCCTTTCACTTTTGGTATCCTTCAAAATAAATAACTTTAAAAGTAGTCTATTCATCTCAGTAACAGAGTTTTAAATGCTTTATAATCCCAGTAAAGATCAATGCAATGTCCTTGACAAGTACTTGCACATGTAAATTCCACAGCATGTGTGCGTGAGCCCTCTACACATGGATTTGGAGTGTTTCTTCAGCAAAGCTGAATATTCTGAATGCATTATAGATGTGCTAACACTTTTCCACGAGAAAAACCCAACTGCCTACCTCTGCATTCCTTCCTTAAATAGTTAGTGAAACCCACTTCCTGAAGCATCTGCTTGCTGTGCACAGTGTGTAATCAGTTACATTTAGACTAATGTAGTTACTGTAACATCTGTTGGCAAGATTATAGTTATTAAGAACTCTGCATGGGAAGTTTACTCCCTTCCTTTGGAGACCTAGCCACCATGGATGACACTGAAAGTCTGAGATTTAGACTTGTTCCTCATTGTAAATCTGTTTTTCATTCCACTGATGCCTTGGAGAAGGGAGATGTTCAATTTGCTTCATAAAGACCATAATCAGAAGGAAGGAGGAATGATTCTTAGGATAGATGGGGTGATATGCCCAGTGTCCTGTGAAATCCATCGTATGTCTGCGTTAGTTTTATCTTTGTGAGTTTCAAAAGTTGCTTTGTATGCTATGCCGTAATTAGAATTTGATTGGAATTCGAGAGGATGTGTGATGGATGAGTTTCAAAAAAGTGAGCAGGTGTTTGTAAGCTCCCCCTATAGTTTTAAAGTTTCATACTTCTCAGGATGCTGGTTTTCAGGTTAAGGCAGCAGGGTATGAAAGTGGCAAGCATGAAAAGCTTTCTTTGTATGACTAAAACTTCATCAGGATGTTTCCCAGTTCAGTTATCCTCTGTCTGCATGTTTTCTGTAATCTGGCATTATTAAGGAAAATCTTGCCCCCCTTCAGAAAAGTGTATTACTGCTATTTGGCAGATGTTTTAGATGTGAACTAAATGTTGCTTGTATAAACCATAATTCTAGTAAATTATTTGTTTAGGTAAGCAGGGTGTATATCTGTTGTTGATCACAAGCTTTCAATAAGAGTATTAAATTATTAGTCAAGGTGTATTAAATTGCTAGTCAAGGTAAAAACCTGCTTTATTACATTACATGTGGATAATGTCCTTCTGTTATAAGAATTATTATATCTATACTTCATATTTTTTTTAGTTCCAAGCCTGCTGTATTCTGTAATTTTAGATTTTAATTATCTTTTAAGGTCCCTTCCAATACCCAAGCTGTTCTATGCTGCTATAAAGTTTTTTGTACCAGCTATACGATACACAATTCAGCTAACTGTGCAACTCAGCAGGTTAGTTTGTATTTAATCTCTTTAGCTCTCTTCCAGAACTTCTGGAAAAGAAGAGGCTCATTGATCTTCATACAAATGTTGCAACAGCCGTTTTGGAGCATATAAAGGTATGATTGCTCTCCAACTTCAGTTTTCTGTCAGTAGTGCTCCTTACCTGGAGAAATATATTTGAGCAGGTAAACTAAGATAAGGAGGTGAGCCTTCTCAATTGTGCTACTTTTTGCAGAAATCACTGTATAACATTACTTAGTGTTAAAGGCTGAGGGGGAATGAATTTTGAATGCCTCGATATGGAAAGTGAAGTAAACATATGAATTTTTTTATTACCAGAATTTATTAGTATACTCTCATTTTTTATGATGGCCACAACTTTATTATGGGTTAAAGTCCTCCTAAAATAAGTTTGATGGACGTGTTTTCTTTACTTTAGAGAGGCGTCATGGCAAGTTACAACTTCAGTCTAAGCAATTTTCTGTTCTGTATGTGTTTATCAGAAGGGTGCTGTTTCCTGTTCACCAGTGAAAATGATACCCAGAGGTGTGGCAATAATGATGCAAGTTACTAAACTGGTCTTTGCAGCAGGGTCTGTTAGATGTCTTGTGCATAATTTAAGCACTTCAGAAGGATGCTTGTCCTCTATTTAAGTCTGCTGCTCTTGTATCAGAGAACTTGCAGACGGTTTCACTATCAAGTAAAGACCATGGTTACTACTAGGATAACTCAGAAGATGGGTCTGTTTTCAAACAGTATGAGAACAAAAATTACAGATGAGACTTTCAGAAACACTGGAATTCTGTTTCTGAAAACAATAAAAGTGCCAGGACTCATTGGAAATCAAGATAGGAAATTTTACCCCAGGCTTTTTATGACTCATGGAAGGTGATGTGTTTCAAAGCTAACTTTACCATTTGTAAAGTGCCTAAGATCTGTCCTCAGTTATTACTGCTACTGATTTTTTTTAAGCTAACTACTGTAAGTGAACAAAAGATTCATTCTTAATTTTAGTAAATTAGTTTTACATATTTATAAAATTGGGAAGGAGATGTAAGTGTGTCTATGTTTGGCTCAATACTGTAGGGCATATTTAATGTGCTTTTGCAATATTAAGCGTGTTTTCATATCTGGCAATTTGAAAGCAGTACATTAGTACCATTAAAAAAAAAACAGAAGTTGACAATGTTGATATTTTATTTGATGCCTTGTCTGTAAATTCACTTTTCTAAGGAAGATACTGAGACACTAATGGTAGGCTTACACCTGTAGTATTTTATATATTACTTTTTGGATAGAAGCCACATGTCAGAGTAAGATGTGGAATGGCAGTAATACCAGTTTTAATTGCCAGTGTCTTCTTAGTAATGGACTGGGGCCATATGCACTTGGTCATTCCCTATTAGGTGACAGTGACACACTTTTCTGTTACCTGGAGATTGAAGGAATTGCACTGCTTGCCTCTGCTGTAGCTCTGTACTAGCCCTTAGGCTTTCTTCTCTGACAGGGAGCCTCTGGAGAGTTCCCAGAGTGGTGATCCATTTCTGCACACATGATTTTTAATTCTGGTATTGCAAAATGCTCAGGCTCTTTACTTTCTTATTGTATAACTGTCAAAGAACATTGTAAGACAAATAGGCATGCCGTTTATTCAGTATAGTGATGATAAGTAAATTTTATTCCAGCTGCTATATCTTGTCTGTTTTCTCCCCTCTTTTCACTCTCTAGTGTTACAAAAAGTATCTTTCTATGTCAAGCTGTGGAATTTTAACATGCAGGAAGATATACTACCTCATGGATTCCTCAAAAGTACTCTCAAAACGTTCAGTATCTTAGCTGGTACTTTTTACAGAAATTCCGATGTCACCTTGAGGCTGTGGTTGATAGGATTTATATACAGTTCAATAATTAAATCAGGTTAGGATAAGAGAGAATTCTTTTGGCAAGTGCCAGCTTATGAGGAGCTAGTGAGGCACAATGCTCTTTTTCAAGTTACTATATTTTCACTTTTAAAATAATCTGGAAGCACGTTCATACTTTAAAATAGGCTGTTCACATTGTCCATTGTGGTTTTTTACTACATCAAGTATTTGAGCATTTTTCTTCCTTACATATATATGAATCAGTGCAAAGAATACTACGAGACCTGCTTTAGGTATATTAGGGGAATTGATTTTTTTCTTATTTTTGTGTTCAGTTTACAGCTGCTTTCCACATTCTGTTGGATCATTTTCTAAGGCACAGCAAGAGGAAAACAGAACTTAATCACATACTTAAAGAGTCCTGGCAGTTTTCTGGCATATCTTACTGTTTAGTGAAATAGTGGAAAGAATGCATCACTTTTTTCACAAAGTGAACCATCAAGTATTTATTGTCAGTGCTTAGAACAAATGCATCCTTGTTTTGCATTGATTGTTTTTTCTCTGGAGAAGCTGGTGACTGAAGGACTGTATCCAACAGATAACAGATTGAGCACTAGAAATACGGGCATCTCTCTAGCTGCTCTGGAGTTTCAGTAATGCTTATCTTTGCATGTCATTCTAGTATGAATACAAGGGTTACTGAAATATGTTAAATTGTGGCCTATAACTTACATTTGTTTGGTTTTTTTTATTCTTACATAATTTTCTTATCATGTATATCTGCATTTCCTTGGTCTCAAGGCCTGATACTTTGACTCCATTACTGTCATTGCCCGTAGACTTTCAAATTATCAAGTTCGTAATTTGTAAATGAATTCTACCATTGTAACTACTCTGTTTTAAATTTGAGATTACATTTTTGTCTTACCATGTAAACAGAAACAGTATGTGTTTGTGAATATGTATGTCACAGTGGTCCAGGCTGGTTTTCTGTAGTTCAGAACTGATAATTGGGTAACTTTACAGTAAACAACAGTTTTTTCTGAGTTCTGTTACAGGACCCTTCTGGCATTACTCTGTGCAGTTCAGTCGAAGGGAACTGTCTATAGCTGCCACTTTCAGTCTTCTCCCAGGGTTTCTCTTTCTCTTGCTAGAAGCACACTGTAATTACCTGACCAGCCTCACTCATTCTGGGGGCTGTTAGTTCTGGTTGTTTTCTGTCAGTATTTTTTGAGAAATTCCAGTAATTTCTTAGAAAATTTCTTTTCTTCTGCATGTTCTCTCTCTCTCTCCAAAAGGAAGAATTTGGTACTGTAAAGAGGATAGGAGAGCCTCCTGGAAGTCCTTACAAAAATGACCCTCCAAGAGATTTCAATGGGTCCTGCTTCCCATTCTCTGCTTAAAAAAGAAGGAATTTTGTATTCAGTTTGGACTACAGTGACAGGTAGAGATTCCCATGCGCTTCAGTAATTTTCCCTAAAATAAATTTTGGCTTATGAATAGCCTGTTTCTAAAGATGCTTAGTGGAAAGCTTTGTCAAATATATTAAAAAAAAAAAACCAAAAAACAGACAAAACCCAAACTAAAAAAGACAAAGCAAGCTGAAGTGTAGCACTTTAGCTGCAGTACAGGCCCTGTCTCTAAATTGGCAGAAAGATCTCCTGAATGAAGTTGGTGTGGAGCAAGGTGTCATGGTAGAAAATTAAGAGCAGGATGCAGAGAGGGAATATCTGTAAATGTGAATGCATCTTGGTTTTATTACTGGGTTTTATTACTATTTTTCTTCACCTTGCTTGCCAGTTTGGCATCCATGAGAAACTCTTCATTGTTGTCTTTTTTATAATTGAATCTACACTATTGTTTAGCTCCTATTCCTGAGCTTTTCCTCTTGGCATGTCTTTGAGCCATTGCACTTACTTAAATTAAATGGACCATCTGCTTCTTATCAGCACTTCTTAGACAAGTTGGCTCTTCAGGAAGTAACTGTCTCATTGATGTGGCATATCTGGGAAATCTGTCAAAAGGTAACTAGTAGTGTTTAAGGCTATTCAGTAATCTGTATGAAATTTGATTAGATGGCCATGTAAATCCTAGGAAGCTAGTATAAGAAAAATTACTTAGTATTTTTGCTAGTAACCTTTGTTGGCTATCTCATGAAGAAGCAGCTGAATGGACTCACCATATTGATCCATCTCTTTTGTTCATGCTTTTGTCGCATTGAAAAGAAAGTCTTGAGATTTTTATGTTGCTGCTTACCTCTAATGTGCCTCTTGTGGATAGAAATAAAGGACCTGAAGTTTTAGGATTTTCACTTTGGTCCCCTCCCAAGAGTACTGAGTTCACATTTTAAAAGTAATTGTCCAATATTTTTTAAGAGAGTAAGTGTACATGTACCATTAATGTTTCCGTTAGGCTCAAAGTATAGCAAATACATGCAACCAGTGAATTTTCTGTGCTGCAGTTAGTCTGTTTTGTTCAGCAGTCATGGTCAAACAGTCATAAAAGTGCACATGGTTGAGAAGAATTTTACCTAGCTTCTGCTCCAAGTAAGTTAACAATTGTAAATCTGTTCTTACAATTAAAAGTATTTCATGTTTGAATTACATAGTTTTATTTCAAAGTTGGTCTGTAAATAAATATAGTGAATTAATGAATATTTTTATGTTCTGTGTTTTTACATGCCTTCTGAATAAATTTGTCTTACACAGATCACCAGCTAAGATAATATGGGCATTGCCAAATTCAACAATAATATATTTATTTTAATAGGATTGAGTTTCCACAATTGAAGACAGTCCTTTGGTTGTTGGATGCCTTTTGTCTGGGAAAAATACTTCAAACTTAAAAACATGGAATTTATCTCCATGTATGGAGATACAAATATAGTTAAAATACAAAAAGCAAGTGAATGTAACGGACAGGCTAGAAAACCTGTAGTAGTTTTCTTGCAATTTTTTTATCGCTCTAGAGAGAGTTAAGAAGACTAATTCGCATCTCCAAGTCTCCAAGATTCTGTAGAATTGAAGTCACAGAACACGTCTGATGTGCCGGATGCCAAACTGCATCTGACGTACGGACTTGGAAAAAGGCTGGTGCTTCAGATCTAGTAAAACGTTAAATTAGTGTAACATAGCCTCTGATAATCACTTTAACTTTGGCTAAATACAGGAGTAATCCAAGGTTTTACAGTAGCATAACTACCAAAATTTGACTGTGACTGCTCCTCTAACATGAGCTCAAGGTAAATACAGCTTGAAAGAAGCTCTGGCTCTGTTTTTAGTGAGTGGTCATTTTTTGAGCACTCTTCATGGTAATTAATTTTATAAGTTGTAATGACAAGCTTCCACAAAAACCTTAATTTAAGTTGCTCTTCTGCAGCTGCTTTTTTTAATTAGTTCAGTAGGTGGTGAATGAGAAATAGAGGAGTGTTACATAGCTATCCACACCATAAGCTGATTGCCAAAGGCTTTCAATATTAAAATATTTTTGTGACTTACCTCCTGTTTTGTATTCTCATCTCCAGCTCTTTTTTTTATGAACTTACAGTACGCAGAAGGTGAAATACCCTAAAATTCTTAGACTAGAGAAGTACCTTTCTGTCTTTTCTTCTTTGTTTTTTCCCTTTTTTGGGGGGTGGTGAAAATACTGTTTTTTAAAATTACATTTCTTTATTTGTGATCTCAGGAATAGTTTTAGTAGAATTCAAAACCATGTGAAAAACAGACTTCTAAAGTTTTGGTGGTGCTGACATTACACCAACCACTGCAGTGGGTTAGGTGCCTTGAATCTCTTGACCCAAGAAAAGCACCAGTGACTCTTGCTTCACTCTGGCAATATCATTTTAATCTCCCAAAGAGCATTATGTGGATCTGAAATACTAGCAAGGCAATGAGATGGAGATCCACTCGGCTGGTCTCTTTGAGCCAATACATAGCTGAATGTGTCCAAACACCAGGATTTAGTTAATTACTGGATATGAAGGTTTTGAAAGATGAGTAGTTGTAACGTTTCTTGTGATGCTACATTTTGATGTTCAGATGCTCATAATGATGTGTGATGTAATGGATTCAGTTTTGGAATGCATTTTTCGATCTTTAGATTGTAACTGCATGATACAGTGGTTGAGAAGTGCCAAGCTGGGCTGTTTGTGCAGATATATTGCAATGCAGTCATTAGTTGCATGGCCATGTGATGTCTTCTGTAAAGCTTTTGCCTCATTAATTTTGTGCATTGCCTGTGCCATCCTCCCTAAAATAGGGTCTTCTCAACTTGATCTATATATGTCATTGTATAATGAGAAACTGCTTTTCCAGTATTATCAAAATAATCTAATTAGATCTGAAGTAGTTACTTTGGTACCAGCCCAAGCTGCCAACTGTTCTCTGGGATGATGCCTTAATGTAATTAGGAATTTCCTACTATCTGCATTGAGTAATTGCTTTGTTGACTGAGAGACTTAATGTTCAGCACAATATGTGACATTATATATTCACTTGGCCATTATTTTTTCCTTTTACAGCATAACACTATGTATGATGCCATGTAGTTTTCAGCCATGGCAAAATCATAGTTGAAAATAAAGCTCCTCTTCCAGTTTAAATTTTACATGTCAGAATTACCTTGCTTAACTTCTGTTTTCACTTTTAATGTGAAAATTACATAAGCATCAATTTTCTGAGAGTTAATAAAAGCATATTATAATGCACTTTTACTGATAATTTATTTAAAAAGTGATTTTTAAAAACAGCTTCATAACTAAAACTTTTTAAAGAGGAAATAAATATTCTTTCACAGCATTACTCTGTTAACCCGAACACTTACTCTTAAACAGAGTCGAAAGCTGGATGTGTACTTTGAATATGAGGAAAAGATAATGAGCAAATCCACTCTGGATAAATCTCTTCTGGACATGATTTCTGACCCAGATGGTGAGTACTTTAAACCTGAACTTGATATAAAATTTGTTAAGATAGACCATAATCTCTGTCCCTGCTGGGACTTCAGGATTGGTAAAGAGCTTATGTGCAACCTGTGCAAGACTTGTAAAGAAAACAGCTTTTACTGATAATAGTAGCAGTCTAGAGAGTTTAGTATTACGATTGAGTAGTAACCAAAATATTGGCCGCTTGTGCAGCTCCACTAAAATCGCTTCTTAACTCTTTATTTCTGAAGGCCAAAATATATTTTTACTTTTGTGCTTCTCTAGTATTTATTAGTATAGCATGGAATTGTGTGGTCCAAACAATACTGATTCTTTAAAATCCTGCTGCACGTTTTATAATGCATACATACCTCATAAACAGAATGAAAAAAGGGTATTTCATACAATTGGTTGGATCAAGGGGTTGTAATGTAGGTAGCGCTTGTTTGTGTGAGCAAAACAATGGATAGGAGAAGGTGCAGAGAAGGGAAGCAAGACATACATTGGCCAGTTTACTGAGAGACACAAGTTTTGCATGTATTGACCCAGCTGTGTCTTGCCTGTTTTCACTGTTTAAGAGCAATGCATCCGGGCTTGTCTTCCATATAGAGCTTATACATAACAAGGTTTTGCACACTGGGCGATGCTCAGGTTCTCTGTTAGCAGGAGTCACTAGGGGTCTCTCTGTAAAAGGCTGAGACCAGAATGGGTTTTCAGCTTTTCATAGTATCATAGCATCAACTATCATCTCAGCCTTTCACAGCCCTCTAATGGATTTCAGTATGATCCGATACGAGTTGGCTGGAACAAAATAACCTGCACAGCAAGACTGTAAAACTTAAGTTATGACCACTGGCCTGTCTGCATACTGGCAAATGTACTGGCAAACATCAAGCATTGAGAGTCCCAGGGTTCCTGCTCTTTTTCCAGTATGCTCTTTTAAGAAGACTTTTTTTTTTACTGCATGCTTGTGTTTGTAGTCTTGTAGCTACATACTGGACATAATGTCTGCTTGGAGTTTGTACAATGATTCATATTTATAGAAAAAATAGGACTTAAAGTTTTACTAGTGTCTGCGCTACAGAATCAAAAGGCAGTAGAAGTAGTAGTACCTGGTAGCAGAAGCCTAAGCTAAACTTTTACGGATCTTATACTGGGTCAAGTCTAGAAACTTACAGACTGTCAGGAAATTTAATGTCAGACATCAGTCTGTAATTGAGTGCAGACATTCATTATTAATATGAAACTAATGTACTTTCTTAAGCATCAGTACAAACTAGTCCTTTTGCATGTTCAGAATCAACCATTCATTTACTGTTTTCCATTTCAGCTTTTATAATTGCATGAACTTAGATATGAAAACAGAAATTATTATGCTTGCTAGCATTTCCTACTGGATCAATTACTTTTTACCTGAATCCGCATTTTCTGTGTGTTTTTAGGTCAGAATGTAAAGCCAAATTGTTTTCCAAGCCTCATGTATCACATTGACATTCTTATTAGCAAAGTTCCTGGGTTTTACATAAGAGAAAGATTAGATTTCCAAGCTAAAGTTTTCCTTCATAAGCTAAATATTCAAGTGTTCGCAGTTTCACATTAGCATTTCATAAGCATTGTCTATGTGTAAGGTAAGCTTATATAACAAGGATTTAGGTTAAATTGCAGAGGTTATTTCTGGACATGCAGTCTTGTAAAACTGGCCAGCTTCCTGTTGTGTGAATCACTGAGAAATACCAGCTGAAAACATTTTGAAGGAGTAACGGGCCAAGTCTTCCAATGCTTTCAGTGGCAAACTACTTGTTTGCATTATCTGTGGGAATACTTGTCTTGTGGACAATGATATCTGTAGAGGTCTTCTCAAAAGCACTTAGACTTGACCACTTAAGAGTTTCAGTGTCCCATTTCTTACTATGTCATACTAATCTACTGCTTAGGGCTATTAGCTGCTTCTCGGTTCAGTGGATATTATTATATCCTGGAGTAGTGTTAAAATGGGAGGCAGTGGTTTTACTTTGTTCTAGTAGCCTTAAAGGCTGCCTGCTTGTTTTTGAGTGGAAAATAAGATTGTTCTCCTCTACATTTACCAAGTTGAGTTTTCTTCGGAACATTCAGCGCTCCCCCTTCTCTATGCTGTCACAGATTGTAGTCTAGAAAAGAAACAGTGAACATTTTACAGGCAACTGACCTGTGTCTTATCACAGCTATAATTTGCATCAGTAGTATGTCAAGAGTAAAGTACTTTTGCCAAACAAAGTGGTTTTCCTTAGTTTTAGTAAAGTGTACACAATACAATCACAGATTTTTTTATTTTGTTTTGTTTTTTAATTTGTGATCTTCTAGCAAGATAAAATATCACTTACACTCCTGTGAGCACAAATCTGCTAGTTTTGTAGATCAGGTAAATAGGTCCAGGGTATTCAAATTGAAACTGAAATTTAGTGATCAGCAAAGTACTGAAACAAGCAATGAGCTGGCAAGCTGGAAACCAAGTTTCCAAGTCAGTTACAGATGCCAGACTCAGTTACACTGTATAGTTAGAATGTTTAAGTGCCTTTTTTACCCATGTGACCTCGAAGTGGATGTCTACCTTGAAACCTGGTTTTTGGTTTAGATAATCCAAAGTTTCTTCAGTTCTTGATCTTCTGGCTTCCTGATATTTGGTAAATGTTAATAAAAATTATTTCCAAGGAAAAAAATGTACCAAGTCATAAAATGTTCATTTTGACAGCACTTGCTGTTGACTTCTGCCAAACTAAATATATGCTCACATAGAAACAAAAAGTGCAGATTAGATTAGATGAACCCCTGCTGACATGATCCACATTCGGGGGGTGGGCGGGTGGGATGAGGACGACAGGGACAAAACAAAAAAAAAGTGGGGGAAAAAAAATTAAAAAAAAACTTTTTTTCTTCCCCACAAGTACAAGCAAATTAATTTTCATAAAACATATTTAAAGGTATCAAGGTTTTTTAATGAAGAATTGAATTACAAATTTGAAATGTTTTGAGAAGTTGTACTTCATGTGAAATCACTAATAGGGATTCTTTATTAATAGTGATTCTTGTCTAGAAAAAAGTGGATGGTGTTCAAAATCTGCTGTTAGTAGGTTATAGTTAAGTAATACAGGGATGGTCACATCAGCATTTTGATCTGGCAGAGAAGAAGTTTGACTGCTATTGATAATGCTTCCCAAGAATTTGTAGCGGTGTTCTTCTCTAATGAGTAGTGTGCAAAAGAAAATTGAGGCAGTGAAAACCCTCCTAAAGGCAGGCTGGATGGTCAGACATTTTTTCCTGACCAAAAGTTCACATAAGTGCTTTTGCAGCCCTCAAGTGTTTCAGTACAGTCAACCACAGAGCTGCATAAACAAGTTGTAGAGTTGAAAAATAATGTGCTGCGACTTTTACTTCTATGATTTTTCTTTAGTCTTCTCTTTCATGGATCTGCTCCCTGCTAATGCTTGCAGTCCCTGCATAAAATAAGACATAATGCCCACTACATAACTTAGTATGTTATTTGAAGAATATTTGCCACAAGCAAATGGGGAAGTTCAAGTAAACTTTCAGGAACAGGGAGCCGGTCTAACTCGTTTTACAATAAAATTGCTAAATGTCTTTCTGCCACTTTAAGACACTGAACAAAGGCATGTTTATAGATAACAGTTACTGTCATAAAGTCTGACTGTGCATATATGTAATTGCTGAAGAGCATTTGACACAGCAGCTTAGTTACAACTCTAATTTTTTTACATTCATTTTTTCTTCATTGCAGCAGGAACTCCAGAAGACAAAATGCGATTATTTTTGATCTATTACATAAGCTCAGCTCAGGCACCTTCAGAGGTATGTGTGTTCTTTACAGCTTCCAGCACCAAATTCTACCACACAGGATTTTTTGTATCATTTCAGCACTAAGTAGGTATTTCTTTTCTTGAAGCAAAGTATGAAATGCCCAGGAGATATTAAAACTTCAAATAAGTCTTGCAGTATTATCAGGGAATCTGCTCACAAAGCTTTAGCCACCGTTTCAAAGGATACGAATGATTAGTAGGAAGGAAGATTATCTTTTTAAATGTTTAGTTCAGAGGTACTGCAAGGCACACCTTGGCATGCTTTCTATTATTCTGCTCCACTGCTCAATGGAAGTAAATAAAACAAAATGTTAATATGACTCATTTCACTCTACCCTTGTATATTCAAGAATAATGGGGTCAGTTGACTAGCAGATGAGTGAGAAATGCTTCTTGTGCCAGTATCTGAGTAATTCAGGAAACAATTTCTTAATATTTCTTTTGAACTTATGATTAATCTCAAGAAAGATTTTTATTATACAGTAGAGATACTATGTAGTAGCTATAAAGTTTCCCATATCTGAAAGTGCACAGGATTTAATCCTACAAATACTGTAGAGTTTAATGAAAAGTGGTTATAGCAAATTGAATTTCAAGTTTTATTTTCTTACTTGGTAGGAGATGGGAGTAAGACTTGTAGTTACTGTTTACCTTTGGTTAATACTATAACTTTATGCTGCTTATTTAATATTTAGGTAAGGGTATCTTGCCTTTCCACATAAAGAGAGCTTAGAGTAGTTTCAGCCTCTTGTAATTCTCTGCTTCATACTTTCAGATTGATTTGGAGCAGTATAAAAAAGCATTGATGGATGCAGGTTGTAATCTTGCTCCTTTGAGCTACATAAAACAATGGAAGTAAGTAATTTCTTCTTTCTCCTATGTGAGACTATAACTGGGTATATTTCACAGAACTCATCATTGTTACCAAAGAATTGTTACTCCTCATACATCTTAAGTTATCAATATTAACTTGGGTGACATGGTTTAGTGCAAGGTGTCCCTGCCCATGGCAGGGGGGTTGGAATTAGATGATCTTAATATCCTTTCCAACCCTAACTATTCTATGATTCTGTTAATTTTGGCATGATTTCTTGCTGTCATTGTTATGGTAATACATGCAAATCTTATTTTAAAACTAAACTCCAGTAATGCCAGAACTGTCTTGAAAATGACAGAGAGTAGTGTACTTAGGGATCCAAGACAGAAACAACTTACTGAAATAAGTTAAAAGCTGTGCTAGTTCAGACTCCAGACTTTCTTGGTTCATACCAAAGGGCCCTGCTGCCTATCAGTTACTCTAGTTTTATGTGGTATCAAAATAAAGGTTTCGTCTTTTAAGTACAAAATCAAATTCTTTTCAGTTCCTTAACTGTTGCATTTCTAGACATGTAATAAATAGTTACTTCCTGAAAGAGTTTAAGAAGTAGAAGTTTTTTCACTTTTGGATGACCAGAGTGGAGCATTCTACAGCAGTATGTGGTATGAGATAAGCATTTGATTTCTGTCCTTGCTTTCACAGGGCTTTCACTAAGATGGCTTCAGCTCCAACCAGCTATGGAAACACTACACCTAAACCTTTGGGGTATGCTTTTGATTCATTTTCTGTAAGCCTTTAGGTTCTTTTAGCTTACTTTAGTAGTACTTAAAGTGTGAGTACCGCTATACAAGGCCCAGAATAAAACATTTCCCTATTTGTAAACAGTTTTAAGTTACAGACAATTACTCATCTCTCCTTAGCAGTGCATAGGACTTACAGGAAAATAAAAGCATCTGTGACTAAATCCACAAAGTAACTTAATATAGTGGTATCTGCACCTGTACATTAAATGTACTCTCATAGAAGAAGAATTTGGCAACAGGAAATGGATCTATGACAGCTGTCATCTTGAGCCTTATTTAGTCAGTGGCAGAAGATAAGGACAGTCCTGTGTATTCAAAACTGTTTCTCTCCAGGGCTTGAAGAATGTCAGGGATGTAAGAACACACTGCTTTTTCATTAGGCTGTCCTGGACTGGGTGTCTGTTTGTTGAAAGGTGTAGTTATTTATTTCAAGAGATGAAAAGATAATGACTCTGTTAAGGGTGCATATACCCCATACAGGATATGGGAGTTAGGTCTTTCCATGCTTGAGAGGATTTGGTTCTTCATTACCAACTTTACTTTCAGGAGTGCACTTGTCACTGTCATAAAGAAACTGTGGGGCAGTATGTTTAGAGAGAATTCCAGTTTCCAGTGCTGTCTCTCTTGGAAAAAATGCTGGTTGGTTGGTTGGAGACACTGAGAATCTCTGTTAATTGATTAGGATACCCACTTGAAAGGAGCACTCAAATCCTCGCGTTACTGAAGTTGTAAAATAAACTGCTCAATGGATTAAAGACTAGAACTCAAGACTTCTATTGATAGGTGAGGATCTAACTGCTAGTTTATAGGTGTATTCCCATAAGCTGGGTTGCCATGCGGTTTGAAGAATATATTTCATGACAAAATTAATTAGTTGGTCCTTCAGTCCCATCAGCTTCAAAGGGAATTTGATGTCAGCATAAAGCTTAAGAATGAAAATGTAAAAAAGATCTTACGCATAACCTTTATTTTGTTTTCCAGTCTGCTTTCTCGTGTTATGAATACAGGATCACAGTTTGTAATGGAAGGAGTGAAGAACTTGGTACTGAAGCAACAAGTAAGTTGAAACAAAAAAAGAAAGCCTATTACATGAGCATTGTGAACATTTAGAAAAACAACTTTTAGTGCCTCTGTCATATTAATAATACTAGTTGGGTAGTAAAAGAGAAAACCAAACATGAACTTCTGCTGGTGGGTAGATCTGTCACTTTGTAGCTTCCAGTTTTTAGACAGGTAATGAATAATGTTCAGATTTTCTTTAAATACCTCTATTCATAAGAAATTAGATTCCAGTATGTGTGATTAAGACTCATTTCAGCATCATAAAAAGAGCATCTGTGAATACTCAAACTAGGCTAGTTCATAAAACGTTACTTGTACCAATGGATATTTCTACTCTAAATGAGATCTCCTATTCTTATATTAAACACTTTGTTATTTCTTTTAGCATGTGTGGTTTTAAGAAGTTAGTATTATACTTGACAAAATGGCTTCGTTTTGGGTTCTGAGTGAGCAAGAAGCTACAATGGCAATGTTTTTAGGATATCTTTTTTCTGGCTTTTAATTCCTTCTCCAGGTGTTTTGGGGTAGCCAAATAAAATGCTGTTCTTCCTCATATTTTTAAGCCTGATGTAGGTCTGTGGTATTTCTATTAAAGTTAACTTCTTATTTCTCATTCAGTCATTTGGGGATTTACATTGGATTTTTTTATGAAGTGTTTTTCAGTATTATTTGTAGATCATCCTTTGGAATGTTCTTTTTGATACATTGTGTCAACAAGACACATTTCCAATTCCGTTGCTATGTAAACTCTCCCTCAGTTTATTCTAACTAAAGTGGTTTGACTGTTGAATACTTCAGATCTTTTGTCCAAGCTAACATTTCCCATCTTAAATAAGGAAAAGTCATCTTGAATCTCAGCTCAGTTTATTCCTTTCCAGTTCATCCAAACATTTGTTGTCAGGATTGCTTCTTTTACTCATTTCTCTGACATCAGTTCTTTTTTAGAATCATGCCCTTAATTGTCATTTTCAGCTTTACAATCCTTCTTTTAAACTGAAAAAAACATTTTAAGAATTCATATATTAGCAATACTTAAATAAAACTCTGTTCCTGTCTTCACACTTCTGCACTTTCTGTTCCTCTCCTAGCTGAATGCTCCTCAGATGTTTGCACTTTCTGTACAGAAAGGTAGTTCAGGTGATGATAAAAATGCTCAGCCTTTACAAAAATATAAGAGGAAATCAGTTTAAGTAGTATTTCAAATGCTGTGTAAACTAATATAAATAGAAATAATAATTTGCCTGTGAATAATTCTTGGTAAGTATTTCAGTGTTCCATTAATTTCACACTATGTTTTACAGAATTTACCAGTCACACGTATATTGGACAACCTTATGGAGATGAAATCAAACCCTGTGAGTATAACTCTTCACATGGAAAGAGTTGGAACAAATGAAATCTTGAGGCTGTCATGTAATATTTTTTTCCCATGATAATGAAGTTAAATCTAGTCATGCTGTATCTCAAAAATAGAACCATTTTCACAACTATTTCATAGGATTTTTTGCATAAAAATGATTTTTAAACAATGACAATTTATTGCGTCTCATTGGACCTAATGGTTTTGAGGTTTTCATCTGTTCTGAGCTTCTGTTAAACTTGTGTTATCTTGAGTTTCTGTTGCTCCTATATTTCTAAAAGCTAAACTGTGCAATGAAATTTTTTTTGCATCAAGAGGATTTTTTTTTTTTAAGAGTGTAATTTCAGAAGGAAGCTAGTTACAGAGAGGTATGTCAAAGACAGTTCTATTTCGCACATCTTTAAAGCTTTGCTATTTAGAGGAAAACATTTCAGGCTTTATGTTTGCAGGCAGAGTTAGTTTTGTGTCAGAAAAGTCCTCTTTTCCCCTTATTTCTGTGAAATTTACTCAGACTTACATAAGTTACAAACTTTTGAAACACTTAAGTGTTAGCTATGTGATCAAGACATTTACTAGAATTTATAGCTAAAAATAAATATTTTTATACAGGATAGATAGTCAAAGCAGTTTGGATTTTCTTTCTATTTATTTTGTTCTTTTAGAACTCTTATATACAACTGTCCTGTGCACAAAATTGTTCTGAAAAAGACACCTGTTAAAAGTCATTTAGAAAGCTTTGATATGTTTTTCACATCTCAGTCTTCCTGGTTTAGTGACATCAGCATTAGATAGATACAAAAGTAATACCTCACACTAGATAATAGATTTAAACCATTCCTCTTCGTCCACTTTCACCTTCAGTTATTAAGTATATGTAAAGAGATAAATATGAAAATTATCAACATGCAGGTAATCCTGTCTTTTCTTAAACTGTGCTTCACAGATAATAAATCTTAGATTTTTATCAGAAAATTTGCTTTCTTTTAATGAACCAAGAAATTGACACTGTTTTCAGTGGCAGCAAGATGTTGTCCTTATTTGCAAGACTTGGAAAAGATGTACAAGGCTAATTTTATATGATCAACCAGTAGAGGTCACTCAGAACACTTAATACAGAAAGCTGAAATTACACATAACTTACAAGTAGCTGAAAAATAACGCAAAATCAACACTAGCTTCCTCAGGCTACAAATTTAACATTTGTTTTGGAAAAGTTTACAAGTCATATGGGTTGTTTGTTGCTTTTTTTTTTTTTTTGCTCTCCTGCTATTGTCATGTACAAACCAACCATGATCACTTTGATAATTTGGAGAAAATGGTCTTCTCACTTGAAAAAGTAGAGATTGAGCCAGTCTGTCAGACAGCAGCTTCATGTTGCACTGCCATGTCTGAGATTGAAATTCATGTTCCAAAACAGGGAGTCGTACTTTTCAATTTATAAGAGAACAGGCAAGCCCTAAAGAATGATTCTCCTAACCTCCAGGAAGACTGACAGCAACTTTTTTGAGTAAGTTTCTGCTAACAGAAGCAAACCAGAGAGTCATTATGGAGTATGTTCAGATTTGCCATGCTATCAACAGAAGTGAAATTGTATCTGGAAAAGGTCAATGTGTAGAAATAATACACTACTTTAGCCTTTGTTCATCTTCTGATGTTTGAGGTCCTTTTCTGTTGCCCACAATAAACAACTATTGCTTTGCAAGCAAAATACAAAGATAGGAGAAAAAAAGCTTAACATTTTACTTTTTTTTTCTTTTTTTACAACACAGAAAATTCTCCTCTATAGTTCACTGAATCTTACTGACCACAGTGGTCAGTGTGGGAAACCTATGTACAGATAAAAGTTGCAAAGCAAAATTAGAATAGATTATTGAGAAGTCAAAGAATTATTATGGTGAATGTAAATAGTTTTTCTAAATATAAAATGCAACAAGCTATATTAAATGTGCAACTTGAACCACAAACCTTCACAAATATCATCAGTTGAAATATTAAACCTATTCAGAATTATATGCTCTGTAGGGTTGTCTGTCAGTCACTTTGTGTGTTAGTTGTCCCTGCTGCTTCTTTTCTCTCACAAGGACAGCTACCACAAAATGAGTCTACACCTGTGTTGTCTGAGTTTTTCAGAAGTAGGAACAGATAGAACAGTTCTCATGAGCAATAATACCATCCTGTAATTTTGTTTTAATTTGTCTAAATTGTTTAACTGTAGTTACACTTCTTGAAATGGTTAAAAACATTCATGGATGATCTTAAAGCAATCTGTATACTTGGAGGCAGGGGAAGGGACGTGTTAGTGGTAACATCTATTGCTTGAAGCAGGTTTTTAAGCAGTTGCTTTGGGGACTATATTTTCATAAAGGAATGTTCTGTACATAAATCTAATAACAAGGTTGCTTTGTTTTGGTACCGCTAGAGATTGATTAAAACCTTGAATCTTCCTAGCACAGAAACAATCGTATTGTCAAGTATACATAAATTTTAAACCATGGATAGGGCATTGACCACCACTTGGTACAGAATTATGGAGGTTCTTCTAAGTATCTTACACAAGACAGATTGACTCTTGAGAAAGGACAGTTTTTGATTATAAAAGATTTAATATTTTGGGAATTTGCTATAAAAGGGGTTTAGCCTCCATCAGTACAGTATACGCATTTTTATTGACTTTAAGAGGTAGATAAATCTTATTTGTGATATGTGAGAATGGAACTGTATTTTGGTTAATATCATCCTTTTCAATGACTATGGTATCTTTTAGTCTTAGGGTACTTCCTATATGACTGACTACTTTTCATGTATTACAATGAAAAAGTCTAGAAGAGGGGGATTTCCTTAATCGAAACTAGTCATGTCAACTTCTGCAGAAAAACAGATACAGGCTGAAAGTAAAGGATAGTTCCGTGGGTCTTTTACAATTTTAATTTGAAATCTTAAAAATTAAGTTTATCTTTTCAACAGCATGAATTTTATTCTTGAATTGCTTGGGGAAATCACAAATTCAGTTGTAAGGAAACTGCTATACAGTTGTTTTTATTGGCACACTAACTACTTCTTAAATCAAATAAAATCTAGTAGGGCTTTTTTCCCTGCATCCGCAGAAATTATTTCAGCAGGAATGGTGTATTTAAACAATGACACAAAAGCCCAAAACTAGCTTATCACATTTCTATTACTTTACCGTTTTTAGTGTGTCTACTTACACAAGCCCACAATGGAAAAACAGAGCAGTAATATATTCAGGAGGAAATGTTTATAATACTGTGGGTTTTTTTAAAACTCTGATTTTAGTGCTGGCATTAATTTGAATTCATTTTGACAAGCAGGGAAGCTGCAACTCTTTATCTAAGTGAGTTGAAGGTTCCTCAAAAACCTCTCAATTTTAGTCTAGCAATGTTTGTCCACTCCCAGCTTTCTCATTGCTTCAGAGTTGCTATGCCAACTTTATGTACAAGGATGCCAAAATCATGAATGCTGGCAGACTTTACAAATGCAGTTAACATTACCGCTGGAGCATACAAAAGTATTTTACAGAGATTCAGTGTGTAATTAGATGTAAACTTTATTAAAAGCCAAACTTGAGGATAAGAGACTTATTTTATGTGATTATGTACATGTCCTTAATAGCAAATAGATTTGTTTTCTATGTGTATAAATACCACATGTAAACTGTTTTGTAGTATTAAAGATAGTTATGCTTTATATAGCTCTAATAAGTTCCCCAGATAGTCTGTTTACTAATCAAGGAGAATAATTTCTGCTCTATAGAATCATTAAAACACAAGAGATTGTGCATGTAAGCACCCAGATGAAATCAACTGCAGTCCTGTATGCAGTTTATCCACAAACTGAACTTCAGAGTACCTGTATGAAAATGTAGTATAGAAACAGAAGAAAGCCAAGTAGTTGTCAAAAGCAGTTACTAAGAAGTTTTGTTTTTCATCCATAATAACTGGCAAAAATCCTGCTTGTTGCCAATAAAAATATTGGAAGTGCCTCAGTGTTTCGTGTAAAGAATTTTTTTTGTGTAGTTTAGATAGACTTTTCAAATTCTTGTGGAACTCGTTTTTCTTCAAGAGCTTAATTTTAGTTTAATAGTAGTCATAAATCATGAAATGAAAAGGGTAACTTGAGTAACAGTAGCAGGTTTTGGTCTGCCTTGTATTTAGCATTCATTGCCATAGAAGTGTTTTGTTTTAGAAGATTAAATCAATAGCAGATCTCTGTAACCTGGAAAATTTTAGCATTTATAACCATGTGATGTGCCTCTAAAGCTGGTAACACCTAAATTTTAGTTTCTGCATGCTGCCTTTATGTTGGGATTTCTTATGAAACTAATGTATTTTTTGGAAAGTATGTAACAGTCAATTTTAGATGGACCAGAAACAAAAAGCTTAATAGCACGCTTTATATCTCTCTCACTGTTGTTTATGCTGCATTGTGAATATTAGTGGACATGACAATTAATTTTTTAATGATGTGACTGCTAAATGGAAAATGACATTGGCTTGAATGGTGCTCAGTGTAATAGGTAGAAGCAGAAATTCATAAGCCAAAATTTCAATCTTTTGAGATAAAAATGTACTTTTTGATAGGAGACGGATGACTACCGGTATTTTGACCCCAAGATGCTGCGAGGCAGTGACAGGTGAGTTTATTATGAGTTTTGCTTCTTTCCTTGTACCCTGTGAAAAGGCTAATTTAAGAAATGCGGTTTTATTTTCCTTGCTGACTACACGTAATTAATGTTAATCATTAATTCTAAGTCAAGACAGTTGGTATTGAAGCAGTTCACAACAGGAACTTGGCACAACCAGATAAATTGTTATAACACTGCGGAGAAAAAAAATACATTGTCCCAGTGACTGACCATGCTGCTGACATGTACATCGGTTCAGTCACAGCAATGTGTGCTAAAATTTAGCAGTAGTAGGTGTTAGAATTCTTTATAGTTGTACTACTCTTTGAAATTTTGTGGGTTTCACTGTTAAATTAAAAAGTCATCAGATAGAAAAATTTTGATGCACTATTACTTTTTAAACAGATACAAATTTTATTTGAGTATATTATTTTAGTATAATAATAATTTATTAATTACTTTGAAAAAATCCGTAAAAATTGACTTCAGTTGCCCTTGGATAGGCATGTGCACATTGTCCATTCATGTGCCTATGAAGAGAGGGTTGGATATCGTTTATTTTGCCAATAAAAGAGAAGAGAGATTAAACTAGAAGTTTATAGATTTATACATTTTGCTTTATATCTTTGACCAATAATTGTGGCTGATTATGTCATCTCTAGTACCCTAGAAACAAAAGATACTTTGCTTTAACATACCTTCTAAAATTAATTTTCATCGAAGTGCTGGAAAAAATAATCAGCTTGTTTAATAGCAGGGCCTTATTACAGGATGAATATGGATAAAGTATGTCCAGATTTGGTTGTAGTTATTTGCATTAAAATCAGTCCCTGCTTCCTCTGGTCTTGAAACACAAAAAGTCTATTTCTGAAAGCATAACTAGTAACGGGAAACAAATGTGTCTTATTGGAAAGTATTATTACAGACGATATAATTTTAAAGATAAGCAGATCTCAGGCGCATCACAGAAGAAAAGTGTCAGTATTTTTAGGAAATTTTGTGCAAATTTTATTAAAGCTGAAGTTGGTTTTCTCATGTAAATATGCATTTTTACCTACTCCATGTAGTTCTTATGTCGCTTTAAACAATGTAAAATTACAGCAGTTCATAAATGTACCATTCATCATAGTGAAAAACCTTCTAATTTCTAGTTTGGGGTTTGTAGAGAAACTCAAGTTATATTCCTTAAATCATATTTGAGCATGACAGCAAAACTCTTGCATAGGTATATAGGGGTTTGTCTAATTCTCTCTTCAAATATTTATGTGGATGATAAAAAAACATAGGTTAGCTGGCTTGACGGAATGTTACTAGTTTAAAATAACTACGATTTTTTCTAGCCTACTGTTTTAATACTGGTATTTCTACCCATTATTTTTTAAATAGAGTAGGAACTGTACCACTGTAATTCAGTCTTAGCAAAACAGTATCTTTATATCCTGTGTGTGTAAAGCCTATGTCAAGTATAAACAGCCCTTGCTCCCAGAAAGGAAAGGAGGATGGCACAAAGCACATGTGAATTTATCATATCGTATTAAACAACGAGGGAAGTGGGGTAACAGTTCTGCTTATGGGGAGTCTGTAGTATTCATGACAGATCAAAACAACATATTAGAGATAACTATTCCCTCTTAAAAAAAAAAAAACAAACAAAAAACAACTTTTTCTGATACACTGAAGTCTGCATTGAGGCAATTACTGTTTCTCACTCAAAGTAAACTTCTTGAAATAAGGGAAAAATGTAAGCTGAAGGGAAAAAATGCACTGTGTTTAATCCGTGTTAGACCATAGCATGATATTTGACTACCTGCAGCTGCAGGCAAGTACAGGACAGGAAGGTGGTGGCAATGTGTGAGCAACGGTCAGGAGAGCAGACTGACCCTTCAGAGCTTTCTCTTTGCCTTTTCCCTTCCTCCTGAAGGTGCAAGGTGATGCAGGAAAAAAGGTTTCTCCCCCTTGCCTTGTTACTTGCCTGTGTCTAAGACTGCATTCAGATGGAGAGGAAGAGCCTATACCACCCAAACTATAACTTACCTCTTCCTCCTTAAATCTTTTTATTCCTGATGTTGTTGTGACACCAGAACACATACCTGCAACAGTAAGTATATAACGCAGGCACAGCAAATTAACTGGCCTCACCTAGTTAAGATTCCAGTAGGCAGGATTTGTAAGTGTCAGGAACTGTGCTAACACTGCTGAAATTTTTTATTCATTATATTTGCTCCTAGCTAGCAGCACTAGAGTTGGAGTTTTTAAGTCTGAAGTGTTGTCATAAAGCTTATGATTCAACCAGCAACCTTAAAACTGATGCAGTAGAACTCCTGTTTACCCATGTGTTCAGCCCTGTAGAATGAATGATTTTTCATAACATACTTGGAGAATGAATGTAGAAGGTCAGTTATTGTCCTGTTTTACATCTATGCCTAATATTATATTGTACTTCAGAAATATGTTTACATGATACTTATTTTGCATATTTATAGTAATGTCTTAACAAAATACAAAGTGCAGTTTGTTTGTATTTCTTTTTATAGCTCAGTTCCAAGAAACAAAAATCCATTCCAGGAGGTAAGTCACATAAAAATTATTTTTCAATGTTCATGTGTAAAATATAATAAAATTCTCAAGTGCCAGTAATTTTTGATTATCAAAATAAAAAATAAAAATTAAATTAAAAAAAAACACAAGAGGTCTTGTTTGCAAAACCCACTTGGACTAATTTTATCTAGTATTGACTATAATTAGCTGTTACTCTGAAGAAGTGTTTTTATCTTCAAAGGACTATGTCAGCATTAACTAATACTCAAGAAAAAAAAACAAATCTAGAAAACTCTTCTGGAGGTAATCACAGGGATTCATTAATATTATAATTGGGTACTCAGCAGTTCAAATCCCCCCACTTAAATACCAGATCTTTACAATGCTCTTCAGATTTAATCCTTTGTCCAGCCTTAAACGGCAGTGTTGACTACTGCTTTAAGTGTTTTAAAGAGTCTCTGCAATTAAAGGAAAAAAGCACAACAACAGCAAATCTTGTCATTTTATATAAATGCCAGTAACTTTCAGTATTTTTCAACATAATTATTTGCAACTAGTAAACATCTCACTTATCTGATCTTACTGCCAAGTTTCATAAGCAAAATCTTACCTTGGCAATATACAAATGTCTCAGATTTCTACTAATTATCCTGAACAAAAGAAATACCGTGTGGTATCATACATATTGGCTAACAGATAATCATAGCGAAAACATCAATAGTAACAAAATCTCTATAAAATTCATATACTGTAATCAAACAGTTTTGGATAGTGAATGTTAACAAAAATGATACAATTATTAAAACTCCTTTTTCTGTTCATTGATTGTTTCCCTTTTAAACACAGCCCAGAAGATACTGATGGCCTTTACCTGTGATATTGTAGATTATTACCAGTAGTAACGGGGGGGGGGGGGGGGGGGGAATAAGAAAATAGTGTATTTCTTTACAGTGGAAGTATTTTATTTGCGTCTCAAATTATTCTTGCTCATCCATGGAAATATTCCCACTGTTCCTATGGACACCGGAGACAGCTCAGCACAAAAAAAGTAACATGTTGGAACTGCATAGGCTTCAAATATTTCTTAGTAGAAGATAGTGACATGCTAAAAGCTCTCAACCTGCTATTCTGCATCCTCCTAAAACTGCAGTGTTATTAGGATTATTTTTATGGTATCTATTATGATTTGGTATATCTTACTACTGAAATGTTAAGAATTTGAATGCAAACTCTGATAATGTGTGTGTTGCCTTTTAGGCAATAGTGTTTGTAGTCGGAGGAGGCAACTATATTGAATACCAAAATCTTATTGACTACATAAAGGTATGTGCACTTTTGTTGTTTCTAACTTGCTGATAGAAACCAGTTTTAGCAGGTTTTCTGTAACATTTAGTATTTAGAAGATTGAGTCTGTGAATGTAGCCTTAACATCCTTAATATATACAGAGCCTGGGAAAAAAAGCATAGAAGAAATCAGTAGAAAAATGTGGATCTTTAATTCAGATCAACAAAGAGTTACTGTTTCTGGTATTTTTGCTCATGTTGCACTTTTGAATTGAGAACTGCATTCTGCTTTATTTTGTCTTCATATGCACTAATGTGGTTGAAAACTGATGTAGCTAACTGAAGTAACAGATGTAGCTGTCTGAATTAACCTGTCTTCCGTACTGATGCATCAGATGCTGTCAGTTTGGCTGTTCATATTGTGTGAGAGTCCTGTTACTAGTTTTCATTTGCTGTTGTTAAATAAAGCAGCTGTAGCGTATCATAGCCTTGAAAGTAAGGAACTGCACAGAATTCTCTGGTTTCTTAAATCTTGCAAACAAGATACAACAGTGCTTTTTCATATGTAATTTAGCAGTATGAAGTCAGTTCAAAACAAAGTCTACAGATAACTATCTTATTTTACAATACTTACTTGAACATGTCTGTTGTTTCTGAGGACAGCATAATGCAAATACAATGCTATCTGTCAAAGCAGAGATCAGAGTGGCATCAATGTCTAAGCATTTATTATTTATCCCCCTTTCAGAATTTTTGCTAATGAGTTAATGGAACTGCATTCTTCATATGCTGCATCATTTGATTCTGCAGAATTCTTAAGAGGTGGTATATGCAAAAGGAAAAAAACACATAACTGTAATGCCAGTATAACAGACTTAATGTCTCTGGTTCCAGCTGGCCAGCCTAACAGCCTAGTCAGTGGATGGACAAAAGTAACTACATCATTACAGTTCTTGGGGTGTGGAGGTGGAATTCAAGCACTTCCCAGGATTAAAAAAATATATATAATTAAATAAATATGGGGCATTAGTCACTGAAAACCACTTCTTCCACAAAACAAGCACAGGAGACTTTTGTGTCCAGGTAAATCTTGAAGAACTTGGAGGTCAGAACGTGTACCAAGTTGTTTCACCCCCTCTAACAGGCAGCTGTTTTGGAACAGAGCCGGTCTGGATAGGAAAAAGGAATGAAGAAGAATGTAAGTTAAAGAAATAATCTAGGCTCAGTTTAGCACTTACCACTCTTATTGATAACTAATTATAGCATTCAGTGAGGAACTTCATACAAAGAGGCAGGAAGCTGAGGTTTCTGAGGAACAAGAGGGCAAACAGGAGGTTATTTGGTAAACAAATGGAGAGGACAGAAGGAACTAAAAAGTACAGGAATTGTAATGTTAGATCTTACAGAGCCAGAAGCTGGATGTGTTTTTTCTTCTTCTGGAACCCATGGACAGTGGTTTCTTCATCATCTGTTGTCACAGCTGAAGAGTTCTGTATGTTTCTCCAACCAGAGTGCGTACTTGGTCAGTGAGAAATGACCCAGGGGGAAAGAATCCCGCACCTTGATTCCACTGAGCCGCTTGCTCTTGAGAAAAAAAAAAACAGAAAAGTTACCAAAGCCCCCACGCCCCAGAGACTTGTCTGCCTCTCACAGGTGATTCTTACAGGCTTATCCAGTAACAGTTGAGTTTTCTGTGGGGTACACTTCCAGCATCTGTTGTTTCAACAGATGTAGCTTACTAATTATTCTAATATTCAATGAGTCTTCCTCCTGAATAAAAAGGAAAAATCAGAAGGTATCTTGACAGGTATCCGGGTGCAAGAACAGAGCTTTTTTCTTTTCTTGCAAGCAGATACCACAACAATTTTATTCACTGCTTTATTTTTCTAAACACTGTCTGTTTTGCCAGTTTGCCTCTGAAAGCACAGAGAAGATATTTTAAAGCTTTCTAAAACAGGAAGCAACATTCATTCAGCTTTGACATTCTTTTTTTTTTTTTTTTGTAGGAGAATTAAGAGAAACCCTCAAATCCAATTATTTGCAGTTCTGTGCTGTAACAGACTATTGCACATTATCAGAAAGCAAATATTTATGTCAGCAAGACAGGTCATGCCTTAAAGATATTGGCCAAGTTCGGATTAACATGCTGAAAATGCGTCATCAAAATTGAAAGCCACAGGGACCCTCAGGGAGAGGCCAGGATACGGTTTTGTACAGGAGAATTTAGCATGTCCTTTAATGTCCATTTGTATGTGGTTGGAAGGGTACTGCTTGATAATCTGTTCCAATCTGTGCTAAATGTTATATCACAAGAAGTTTAAATCCAGCATAGATTCTTGGTCATGAAAAAATGCTGGACTGAAGAGCGTTGAGCTGGGTTTTGGGGTTTTTTTTAGGTGTTGAGGACTTTTGACTTGGCTCCAATAGTTATTTGGAGATTGAGCTCTTTGTTTGAATGGACTAAAAAATTAAATAAAAGCATACACATTTTAAAATTTCACTTTTAGAAGAATATATACAACAGACTGGAATGTATTTTAGAGCTGCCTGGAAGACAAAACGGTCCCATTTCACAGAATCATTAGGGCACGAAGGGACCTCTGAAGACCGTAGCCCAACCCCTCTGCCAAGGTGGGGTCACACAGAGCAGGTTACACAGGAACACATCCAGGTGGGTTTTGAATGTCTCCAAAGAGGGAGACTCCACGACCCCCCCCGAGCAGCCTGTTCCAGTGCTCTGCTTGTTTGTATACTTTAATTCTTTTCTTGGTACTAAGCAGAAACAAATACTATTCAGTCATACTACTGAAAGTGGAATCTTTCAAAATACCAGTTTAGATCAAAACCAGACCTATTCAGGCATCAAGATTAAGAAAAAGCTGGCTTGAAATGTGGGAAGACACAAGCTCAAGATCCTGCTCCGAGACGACAATAGCTTATTACAACAAAAGACTTAAAATTAATAAAGTTGAGGACTTGAACCAGGATTACCATCTCCCCAGTTAATGTGTGACTTCTGGTACTCTCTGCTGAAGCAGCACAGTTCGTAACATATGTGAAAGCAAAGACTTATTTTCCCATTTTACTCTTTATTAACTGATTTTTACCTAAATATGGGAAAATGCAAAATAATTTAACAGTGAAACAGGTTTCTTAAGCCTATGCTTGAACTTTGAGGAACCATAGTATTACTAGCCCAACACTGGAAATAAACTTGGTCTGAAACTGTGTATTACTTAAACTAATTTTCATTTCCAAAATGCTAACATAGCCTTTTGGTAACTTTACTATCAAGTCAGTGCTGTTAAACTGCACACTAGGTTAATTATGTATCCAGTTGAAATCAACACAACACTTTGTTTCAGAATTCATTTACCAAAAAAATGTGCCGATTTTATCATCATCATCATATGGAAATCAATTACAGATTGAAGTTTTCAGGTTCTAATACAACAAAATCAGTAAATATGTCATTATTACTGTTAGCACAGTGCCAAGTTATTGTAGGGGTTGGGATTGTTCAGGTAGGGATGTTAGCTTCCCCAGGCCATTCATAGATACATCAAAGAACTTGGCATTCTACTGAGTTTAAATGTGTGAAATGCCCCATTTTTCCCACTTTCTTTCTGCCTCTAGTTGCTCATTTTCCACTTTAAATACAGAGTTGTTTTCCTCTGGTGGAGCAACTGTTCATTTTCTGGCCAAAAAGTGTAAGACTTCAACATCATCAAGATGGGGCTTGGGAATTTTTTTGGTATGCCATTAGTTTGTCACTTCTGCTACTCTGTTAAACACTTGATTTCTTTGTCTTGTCTTTTTTTAGGGTAAACAAGGCAAACACATCCTGTATGGCTGCAGTGAACTTTTTAATGCTACACAGTTTATAAAACAGGTAGGTACCTTTGATAACTTCTGTAATATTTATTGCCTCCATAACTGTGCATTGACCTATTTGCTTTTAGATTTCTCCATGGATTTTAAATAAATAAATAAATAAATAAATGTATATAAAACCCACACAAACTAATTTGGGAAAGATTACATGTTCTTGTTATCTGTTTTCATTTGATTGAAATGGTGGTTTAGGGTCATTATTTTCTGTTAACTTTTGAAGGCCTGTATTGTCAATGTGAGTTCAAGGTAATGCAGGTAAACAAGTTCATAATAATTACCTTTATGTAAAAATTAATAATAAAAAAAAATAACCCAATTCTTGATATTTTCACAAATAGTGTGCCTTTACAGGCTGCTCTAGAGACTTTTACAACTCAAAAACTGCTGTTTAACTGTGGTGTTTAAACCTTCATCCCAAATTTGGTTATTTATAAATACTGACCTAGTGGACATTGATGTTGTCCATACCTATACTAAAAGGTCATTCTTCTGTTTAAAAACATTATAATCAGCATTATGTCTCTATGCCTTATTCCAATACAAATGCAAAATAAAAATTGTGCACTGTGGTCAGCAAATAGCAGCCCTTCAGTAGCTGTCAGCACCTATGATTTTCCTACTGAGATGAGAATAAATTGTTAATCAAAATTACATGTTAAAAACTAAATTAATTATTGTTGCACTTGAAGGAGAAATATGGTACTTACCAGCTTATAACTCTTCAGTCAGCTTAATTAACTAGCTTTTTTGTTGACTTCACTCTGTGTACTGTACCTTTACTTCGCAGATTTATTAAAATCTTAGTATCTGAAGCTTAGATCCTTTCCTGTGAGGGTATGCATTAAATATTCTATTACCAGCATACTTTTGGCTGTAAGAGGCAAATAAAAATAAAGCTCATAGGATAGAAGTACTTACTCTGTGAACTGGATATTGGTTTGACTGAAAGAATAAGATTAGCAGCCTAATGGTTTTCTGTCTCTTCATGTTTAGCTGTCCCAACTTGGCCAGAAATAAGACTGAAACACCATTACCAGGATGTCAAAGTGACAACAGAGAATTATTACAACATTCAGATATCTTCATAACTATAATTTTGTCATTATATTAAAACAACCCCATTTCATTAATATAACTTTTAAAAAATATCTGTAATTAATATGGTGAATATCAACATTTACGAAATAAACCTTAAAACCTGCTATGTTTTTGGTGGGGGTTGGTTTCACATTATTACATTCTAAATGCAGTGTGAGCTATGGTGTATGACAGAACTGGCTGAAAAGCACAACGTTTTCAAGTTTTTATCTATAGTTTCTGTTACAGTAAACAAAGCAAAAGCTTGAAGAAAAGGTCAAGTCTGTCTTTAGGAAATGTTTTACTTCTTGAAAGCCAGACTGTCTTTCTTTAACAGAATTGAAAAGGACAAAACCGCCTTTTAGGATCACAGACAAACAGCCTTAGTGCAAGAGAACTACTACAAGTTCTTACCCTTTTATTTTACCAAAGCCATTATACTTGTACTTAGATTTGTGCAGTCGTGTCTTGATGTTCCAAAGATATACTTGACATACACGTTTCTGATAGAGTAAAATTTAGCTTTTATGGTTAAGAGAAAATCACTTGCCTACAAAATCAGTTTCAACTGTAAAACTTTACAGTTTTACATTTTTAACCATTTTCTTCTGCACTTTTTATTGTAACTACTGTTATGGTTTGGAAGAAACCAAGTGATACTCACACAACAGCTCATAACTTCATTATAAGCACATATTTAAAATAGTTTTTAACAACTGCATGAAGTAGGAGCAGTTAAATAGTTTGAAAAAAATCTCACGATAAAATAATTTTGCCAGCTAGGATAGCTCTGAAGAGCACATGTGGGAATTGGGAAAAGGGAACTAATTTTCTTTATAGATGTAGATATATGCCTCTAGAAATGTCCTCTTTGGAAGCAGCACTGCTACTGGTGAAGCAATAATACATCTTCAAAATGAAGTCTAACATACTGAAAAAGTGAGAAGAACATACTTGTGATTTTATTAACAAACTGTGGGAATTACTGGCTTACTGTAAACTTTTCAGCAGTGGTTTTTTTTCTGCACTGTTCTTTAATGGTGAATATTAATTTTGCTCTAAAGGCAATATTCTTTCCCCAGCATGCCTGTACAAGAAGTGCAGTTGAGCTATTCCTTAAAAGCATCACCGTAAAAATATGCATAATCTAGTCCATGGTATTAAAAAGTAATAATGTGATTTAATTTTTTCAGCTGAGTACTGTAAACTACTCCACACTACTACTATAAGCTTCTAATCTTACCATGTCAATAAATGCATTTATTGTGGTGTTAATTATAGTTGCATGTGAGCACTCTCCCATGCTTCAGTCAGCAAGGACTCATCTTGTCAAATGCACTTTGTTATGCTAATTCCCTATATATTTGTTAGTAAAAGCAAGGTGAAAGTGCATTTGGAAAAGAAAAATTACATTTAAGGTGTTTATTGCTTCCTCTGGGAGTGTGTTCGAGGAGCTTGAAATAATCCATCCCCAAGAAAACTGTGCTTCCTGTGCAAAGAGTTTTAACCTTGCAGCTGACAGCCAGCTTCTGAAAAATCTGCTGACAGCTTTTTGTCCAGATCTTGACCCTGCTCATTTAAACCAGGAGCACTCCTAAATCACAGCCTGCAGATTCTGCTATTTCAGTAAACTTTGTAAAGATAACAGAAATTACTTCGGTGGCAGTGATCAAAAACTTAATTTGCAGTTTTTACACTGTCCCTGAGATAGGTTTTATTTCTGCCTAGCTTTATAGCTGAATCTTGTGAGCATGCACTGGTCAGTTCAGGTTTGGGGTTTTTTTTCTTAAACTAATAAACACAGTTTTAGTACTTCAAACATTCTTCTCTTTCTAAACTAGCTTTCTGGTTTTGTCATAGTAGTAGTCCTAAAGCTCTCCATTACCATTAAAATCTCACATTTACCACTCTAACAGCATACTCATCATGCTTCTTTCCTTCTGACCCAACCTAAGTTATGGAGTGCTGGTTTTTGTTACAGGGCCCTTTTCCCCAAACACCTCTTGGAGAATTAGGAATGTAGAAGGTTGTACAAGTCTCCATGATTGATCTAGAGGCAAACAGTGTTAAAAATGAACTGGCTCTTTGGCATGCTTACTCAATTTATAGCCAGTCCCTATGCCCTTCACATCCTCAAAGGTTCCTCGCAGACTTGTGCTCATTATGCCCAGCTCAGCGGGTCTTTTAAATAAAATCATACCGTAGAATCATATAATCACAGAATGGTTTGGGTTGGAAAGAACCTTAAGTTCCAACCCCCAGCCATGCAGTGTTCCTGTTGCTAATAAATATTTTAGGTGGCTGCATGGCAGACCAGGGGGTTTTGGAACTTTTCTAGCCTACTCTGTCAATAAACCTCAGGCAGGGCTGGCTGACAGGGCTGTGCTAATGGCAAAGCCAGCTTCCATGCCTCAGGACTGGCAGTTCTTAATTGGGCTTTACCTTCCCCTTTAGGTAAGTAAGGGCAGCACAAGGCTGAGTGAGTTTTAAGTGCTGTCCTTGTTCTCAGGAAGAAAATAAGCACTGTGGCCTTCACCTGTGGAAAACTGGCACATCTGTCTTTCAGGAAGTAGAGACAAATCTTGCAAATGGTTGCATACACTCAATCACTTCAAGAATTCACAGTTTGAAAGGTTCTTCGCTAACTTTCTTACTTAAATTTGAAGGTTTTAGAATATTTAGATGGCTATTTTGGGTATGATCAATATAGTGCCTTTGTTTCTCAGAATTAGGCTTTTTTTTTTTTTTTAAAAAGTAGTTTGAAATTCTCATCATAAACTTTATAGCTTTATCTGCCCATATCTGTCCCCTTCTGGAAAGCAAGCAGGACCAAATTTTACATTTTAAAAATGTTGCACTGAACTTACCCCACCTCCTTTTAGTAATTGCAGAAGTTGGCTTTCTTGGTTTGGCAATGGAGGAGCAATCTTTATCCTGTGAAACCAGAAAAATCCCCATAAGCCTCAGAACTATCAGTCCCAAGTCTTACCTCAGTCTTCCTGTCTTATGCACATGCACATTCCTGGTTTTGGCAATCTAAGGGGTAGCTTGTACACATAATGCTTTCAAACAAAATTGCTTGTTAGCATCTCAGCATGGCCATGCAATGTAATTAGTATTTACTGCTCCAAATCATTGTATTATGTATGTATTATGAAAATAAATGGATGAAAGTTAACATGGATGAAAATTAAGTGCCAAAGAGGCATGTAGCTTCCCTTAAGAATTGCTGTGGATTCTTTCTGTAGTTGCTGTGTTTTGATTTGGACTTGGTACTAATGAACTGATGAGAATACAATCCTCAATAGTGTTTCCTGTAACTGAAACCATCCTCCCCTCTTTTTTCCTTCCTCCCCCAAGTAAATTTGTAGTATCTTCCCTCTACATAGAGATCTTCAGAGGTTTTGAAATTATACTGCAAAATTAGTTTTAACAAATAACAAAGGGATTTACTCCTACTTCATTTGGAGAGTAAAATTACACAGGTCAGCTCAAATAATTTTTCTGGTGGACTTAGCTGTTTAATTTACACTGTGAAATGAATTCGGACTATTTGTACATTCAGCTACAACAGCAAAGCTTGGTTCTTAACTGCATCTCTAACAAGTAGAATAATTGCAACACCTTGTATAATGACTTCAGGAGCTCTGCTCTGAAGTGTTTATTACAATGCAAGCGTATGTATGTATTGATTTAAAAAGAAAGAATCAAAGCATTCAATTCGATACATGCCTCTCAAAAGACTTCTTAAACCATAAATCAACATACTGTTATTTCTTTCAAATGCAAATAACTATACACTTTTTCTAGACTACAAATACACAGTATATGAAATAGCTTGAATAACAGCAACATTTTCTTCCATCTATAAATCCTATATGATTGGTATCTTCCTACTTGTTTTGTTTGTCCTTTTATGCGTTCATGTTTTCTGTTATGTGTCCGTAACAAAGACTATCAGAGCTGATCATAAAACCACATGAGGGAGATCAGCCAAAGATTATGGATTATGACACAAAATGTTTCCCAGGCAAACACACAATTTTTTGTGTCACACTTGTATATTAGCAAAGCTAAGTATTGCATTGCCAGTTTTGCTGGCACGGATAATAAACCCTCATTTCCTATATGCGAATGAGGTAAAACACTGCTGGTATAATATTTTCTTCAGATTCCCTTACGAGTATGCTCCAGTCCTCTAGGAGGATCTCCTTTGCTTCATTTTCCTGGGATTATTGACAGCTAAGCTACTGAGCTCCAGCTGCAATGTGAATTCACCCTAGAGGCAGAACCTCGATCCACTTCCCATAGATTGTTAGTCAGCCATAGGCCCTGTTCATTCGGGTGCAGTTTGAATTGGTAACTCACAGGGAGAGGTACCTACTCTAGAAGTCTTCTGTCCAGTTCCAGTACTGGGGATATATTTTTTTGCCCAGTGAAAAAAAAGCTTTGGCTAGCCAGCCTTCCCTCACTGTAGCCACGTTCTGATGAAGATAAGCACTACTCCACAGGGAGGGTAACTACATAAATCTACCTTCTGTGGGTTTTATATCTCCATCAGTCTGGAAGTCACCTTTATCACATGAGAGATATGTGGTAGTTTGAAGAAAAGGAAGGGAAAACAAACCAATCAACCAACAACTGGAAATCCTGTAGAAGTGTCAAAGACAACAAACCCACTTGCTGTGTAGACCCTCACTGTACGCCACGAAGACTGTTGAGCAGCTCTTACTTTGCTAGCCCCATCACCAGCTTTCTGATAGTTCTGCAGACCACATTTCTCCACAGGGAATGGAATCTGGTCCATTCATCTTGCCTTGCATAGGGCAAGAAAAGGCAGCGTTACCAGCCCAGGGCTCTCAGGGAGAGGAGCGAGCACTTGCATCTTTAGATGCGCTCACTACTCGCTGGAAAAGTTGACTTTCTGCAGGCTCAGGGCCCAACATGAAAACAGGTGAACCAAAAAGAGGCTGCCCTTCTGCAGAGAAACTTGTTCAGTTTGGGCTTTAATTTTTTTCTAAGTGATAAAATCTCTCACGTATTGGTTAGGATAAAGTTTCTGTCTTTTTTCCCTTACCTCTCCCCCTCAATTCACTGCAATGCCAGTGATCAAAAGCATATTCCCTATGCTTTAGGACAGGATTCAGCTTAATCCGTCAGTGAAAACCTGATGAAAACTGATGTAGTTTTCTAATTGTGGCACTTGAACCATGAACACCAAATCCATGATGTTTTCCAAGCTATTTTTCCTTTTTTTAGGTGTCATTAGTAATTTGTTCCGCTATTTGCCTGGCCTGGCCTCCCTCAGCGCAATCTCTATCTGGTCAGGATCCGGGCTTCAAGTGCCAAGCTCACCAATAGCCTTGCCAGCCTTTCTACAGGACCTTAGAAACCTGTCCCAGCAGAGACAAGGATTTAGCCTCAAAATGCTCACATTGATGCCTCAAAGGAAACAGCTAGCTCCTTTCCCAAACCCACAGGAATATTTGTACATCTGAAGTTTCCAAACAAGAAACACATCTGATTTAAAAAGAATCTTTTGGCACACAATGATGTTGTTTTCTGTTACCTATTTCTAATAAACATTCATTTTGGTAATGAAAACAGGGTTAAGGAAATAAATGCAACTCTGACTTAGATCCAGAAAGGATGAAAACTGGACTGCATTCATTGGAAGTTTTCACAGTAAGAAATCAAGGACAAACATCTCTTATCATTTAGTTAATATGTCACATTTTTATGCTGTTTGGATATTTATATGTATTTTCACAACAATGGAAAAGCTAAATGACCTCAAGGGGTGTTCACTGAAAGACAGCCTTACTCTAGAGTCTTCTCCTTCCTTTTGCTTAAAATTATTATATTAAAGCAATTCCGTTTTGTTCAAGTATTTTTACCGATTCCCCAAAATTTACCCCTTCTATATGCAGTATTCCAATTTTTCCAATCATGCCCAGTGCTTCTAAATGTAAGAAGACTTCCACATCTGCAGCTGCATCCTAAAGAAGCCTGTAAGTGAGCAGCCACTGCATCCAAGTCCAACTTCTCAAACAGGTTTGTTGTTGTTTTCCCCTCCTCACAATGGAGATAAAATTGGAGAGAGATGGCAGGACTGACTCAGTTTGCAGATGCGTCTTGATTACCATCTTAGTTTCCCTTGCTCACTAGAAAACAATTTTGGCTGTTTCTGCGACCTCACAATTGCCAGAGCTGCAAGCCTCAGCGCAGCACGGTCTGGATCACGGCTTTGCAGCACACAGATTGCGATAAAGACTCCATGGCTGCTCAAACTCCAGAGCATCCAAAGCTTGAGGAGCAGTATTCAGTAAGGTCACAGTTCCAGTGGCCTAAGTCAGACAGCACAGAAAGCATCACTGCCTGGGTGGGCAATTTGGTGGGCATCAGTAAGGGCCAGGAGGGACTATGAAACAGGCAGGTCCAGATAAGCACCTTCCTTCTCCCAGCTGAATGCCCAGATCAGGTTTTGGGATGACACAAGTCGGAAGAAGTGTTCATGGAGCTGGCAGGGCTTGGGGATAGTTTACTTGGTTTATGGAAAGCTCCAGGACAATCAAGTATTAAATACTCATTGTTCAATATGACCACAGGCGAGGAATGGTAACTGAAGAGGTTTCAGCCTGAAAGGAAAATGGAGAACAGGCTCTTGCCAAGGCATCAGGGTGTCAAGATCACTCAGACAGCAGTGTGGGAAGGGAGAGGGATCATAAAAAAGACTCCAGCACAATTCCAAGAGGGAGATTCTCCCCTAAAATGAAAGGCAAGGGCAGAAAGTAATGCTATCAGTTCCTGTGGGAACACAGGTTCCCATGCTCTTTGTACAGTAGCCATGAGTAGAGGACCCTGCCCCATCCCAGGGATGATCCAAGGGTAGGGGACATCTCTCTCTTCTCCTCAGGAGGATGGCCAGGAGAAGAGCAGGACACTGAGCCACAAACCAGTGACCATGTACAGTTGGTAGCATCTGTCACCAAACAGAGTCAGAAGGGAGACTCCAGCATCCAAAAGTCATATCCTACTAAGCCAGAGATGAGACTGGGGACACACTAGCATTCTTCATTTAGAAGAATCAAATTGCCAAAGAACTAGCGAATCAATTCACATATTTAGGCACAGTACTGAATACCAGAAAAATAAATGCTGCCCCAAACAGTATTTACAGCTCTGTCGTCAGCATGAGCTATAAGCACAAAAAAAAAAGGCAGTTCAAATGACTGCAGGATCTTGCATGTTGTTTGGTGCCACAGCTACTGTTCCACTCTATAAAATTTGCAGGTATACAAAAAAATTAATGGTTTGGCAAAGATCATCGGGAAAAAAAAGTAAAAAAGGAAGGTGGAGATTAAAAACATTAGGTTGATCTTGCTGATCCTTTATTGGAAAGCCTGGATTGGAAAGGAAACAAAACCTTAACCAGGTTCATGTATCACCTATTTTGACAGAAAGCACAAGAAAACATCAATTTGTGCCAACAGGCTGCCTTGCGATGCATACAGTCAGGTGCCCAAGTCTTCTAGAGAAACTGATATTCCTATGAGAATATGCAACTTGGTGTGAATATTGACTGACCAACAATCAAGGAGTACCTGCAGTATCCTATGTTGTTTTTGTTGTTCATCCCCAAATTCTCCAGAACTCATCAGAAACACCAGTCCTTTACGGACTGCAATGGCAGACATGCAGTATATATTTCCACACACGAGGGCCAAAGCAAATCTCAT